AACCCGCCAGGGCTGGACTTATTTTTTTTTTTCTTTCTTTTAAAAAAAAAAATATTTTATTGATTTTTCGCAGAGAGGAAGAGAGAGGGATAGAGAGAGGGAAGAGAGAGTCATCGATCAGCTGCCTCTTGCACACCCCCCACTGGGGATGCGCCCGCAACCAAGGTACATGCCCTTGACCGGAATCGAGCCCGGGACCTTTCAGTCCACAGGCCGACGCTCTACCGCTGAGCCAAACCAGTCCCGGCCGGACTTATTTTCTTAATGAACAGACTGTTAGTTATTTCTGCAGGCCTAGGAATATCATGAAACAGTTATTGAAACATCAGAACCACCGTGAATGAAGAAAGCTTGGGAACCTTTAATAAGTTAATGGATTCCAGGGATCAGAAATACTAGGGGAAAATTTTAATTACACAGATTTTGTTTCAAGATCCACCCCAGACCTATTGAAAAAACATTTGGGCCGAAACCGGTTTGGCTCAGTGGATAGAGGCCTGTGGATTTTTTTTAAAAATTATTTATTTATTTTTATTGATTTTTCACAGAGAGGAAGAGAGAGGGATAGAGAGTTAGAAACATCGATGAGAGAGAGTCATCGATCAGCTGCCTCTTGCACACCCCCTACTGGAGATATGCCCGAAACCAAGGTACATGCCCTTGACCGGAATCGAACCCGGGACCCTTCAGTCCCCAAGCCGACGCTCTATCCACTGAGCCAAACCGGTTTTGGCATGTCTCCTTCCTTCTGTTAGTATGGCGGATTAAACTGACTTTTGAATATTAAGCAAACCTTGAATTCTTGGGATAAATCCAACTTGATCATGATACAGTATTTTTTTTTAATATATTGCTGGACTTAATTTGTTAATATTTTGCTTACGATTATTTCATATTATGTTCATGAGGGCAATTGGTTTTTAATTTTCTTATAATTAAAACATTTTTTTGGTATCAGGGTAGTCTTGATTTCATAATATTAGAAGTGTTCCTGCTATTTTCTGAAAGAATTTGTATATGATTTATATTATTTCTTCCTTATTTGTTTGATAGAATTCATTATTGACATAACCTTGGCTGTCCTGGAGTTTTGTTTGGAATTAAAACCTTTTGTGGGAAGGTTTTAATTATAAATCCAATTTCTTTTTAAAAAAATATATTTTATTCATTTTCCACAGAAAGGAAGGGAGAGTTAAAAACATCGCTGAGAGAGTAACATCGATCAGCTGCCTCCTGCACACTCCCTACTGGGGATGTGCCTGCAACCAAGGTACATGCCCTTGACCGGAATCAAACCAGGGACCCTTGAGTCCGCAGGCCGATGCTCTATCCATTGAGCCAAACCAGTTTCGGCTATAAATCCAATTTCTTAAATAGATTAGGAGCTATTCAGATTTTCCTTAGCCCTAACCTTTCTTTTAGTCCGTATTTTACACTTGCTTGGGACAGGAAGAGGACCCGGGTCATGTGTTTGAGTTAACCTGCAGCCGTCACTTGGGCTTCTCCCCAGGAGGGGAGATGACTTTGACTTTCTGATAAACCTCTGACGGACTCTGAGATCTTGAGCAAGCTGTCTCATCTTAGCTGCAGTTTTCTCATTTGTCCCTTGGGGCTGTTTGGGGATTTAGAAAACTAAGTCAGTGAGAGCGCCTGGAATACTGCCACCCCCCGTGGGTCACTTCCTAGGCTGATACGTTAGAAACAGCTCAATCTGTGGCTTTGAGCTTGTCCCCGCTTTCCATTGTGGTAATTTTCAAATACACGTTAGTACTGGAATTATGTTCTTGTATTCCTGACTCTAGAATAGTCTCTGCACTCTCTCTGGTCCGGGCAAGGACAGCTTTATTTTCCCTTCCCACTGAATTACATTTCTTCCCTCACTTCCATACAATATTGCAGTGAAATGTGGCCTGATGCTCCAACCTACATGTCTCTGGTCAGGGGCTAGAGCTATAAAAGCTGGAAACTTACTGCTTGGAATTCTAAATACTTCCCTTTTGGGGTTTCAGATCCTGGATCCCTAGTAACAGGAAGCAAACGGGGGATGTTTTTCTGCCACAGGCATTCCTCATCATCTACAGTCTGGCCTCAGCCACTGATCCTGAAGTGCTTTCCTCGCCAGGATCTAATTCTGCATCTTCTGGGTACAGCTCCTCACTCCTCTCCAAGATCCATTTAAATACTAGCCTTTCCAGAAACATCTCCAATTCCCATCAGCCAGGTGCCCCCTGCCCCCATTCTCCGAACCTGTTCCTGCGTATACCAGCGAACATTCTCTGTTTCATCTATTTCAGCATCACTCTCTCTCTTCGAGATCTCACCCTGGCTCGCTTGAGAGCAGGGCTGCATCTTGTCCCGTGCATTGTCTGCCGGGCAGGTTGTAGGTCCAGGGCCAGTGCCTGAGCAGTGTGTGCTGGATACATTTCCCGGGGAGGGCTCTAAAATACCGACAAGTTAACCTCACATTAAGATACTAGTTATTTTTGATGAGACAATATATAATAGGAATAAAAAGGAGTTTGAATAACAAAAACAAGACCTTACCAAATGATGTCAAAGCAGCTAACGGCATTCTAATTTTTCAAACTTGTTCATAGCCAATGTAATATGCAAGTTGGAGGATCAGTTATCTCTGTTTTTATTTTTAAAAATATATTTTGCCCTAACCGGTTTGGCTCAGTGGATAGAACGTTGGCCTGCGAACTGAAAGGCCCCAGGTTTGGAGGCAGCAATGAATGATTCTCTCTCAACATGGATGTTTCTATCTCTCCCTCTTCCTTTCTCTCTGAAATTAAAAAAAAATTAATAACAATATATATCTCGATTTCAGAGAGGGCGAAATGATGAGAATTATCAATCGGCTGCCTCTTGCATGCCTCCCACTGGGGATTGAACCCACAATCAGGGCATATGCCCTCATGGGAAACTGAACCATGACCACCTGGTTCATAAGTTGATCATCAACCACTGAGCCACACCAGGGGGGCAAATTAAAATTTTTTTTTTTATTGATTTCAGAGAGGAAGGGGAAAGAAACATTAATGAAGAGAATCACTGATTGGCCGCCCCCTACACACCTCCCCAGTGGGACTGAGCCCGCAACCTGGGCATGTGCCCTTGACCAGGAATCGAACTTGGGATCCTTTAGTCCACAGGCTGATGCTCTATCTAGTGAACCAAATAGGCTAAGGCTTTTAAAAAAAATTCTTAACTTAGGATATTTTTTCCCATCGATTTTAGAGTGGAAGGGAGAGACATGATTGGCTGCCTCCCACACAAGCCCCTAGTAGGACTGAGAACCTGCAACCAAGGTACATGCCCTTGACCAGGAATTGAACCTGCGGACCTTTTGTTCTGTGGGCCAACACTAACCACTGAGCCAACCAGCCAGCACCTCAGTTCTTTTTAATACCTGGCACGTACTGGTCTCACTGTTACAATTAGCTCTCTTGCTTAGCGGTCCAGTCTTATTTTCACCCATTTTCTTTTCCTACTAGATCCCATCTCCTCCCAGCCCCTGTCATCTTGGTTGGCAGTTGGCCACCAGAGTGTGACAGAAGAGGGATGTACTGTAGCCCCTTAAGTACTCCGTTTCCAAGAAACTGCTGTGACTTGTTCTCATCCCTGTAAGGTAAGGTTGATTGGAAAACCATGCATCACCCATAGGGGATCACAGACCATGTTAAACGCTCAATATAAACTCAAATAGATAAAACTGACATTTGGCTGGTGCTTGGTGTTTTTTCCTGAATGGCGGACAAATTTATCCAAGTCCGTTTTCAAGTTCACTTGAATATCGAGAGGCTAGGCTCTGAGTGAGTGGTTTTGCGTTTTCCTCTGAACCCCATGCATAAACTGATGCCTTCTAAGACAAAGTTATGTTGAAAAAAAAAGTGAAACAAAGTTAGCTGTCTGTCTCACACAGTTTATTTAACAATAGGTAATAAGAAATCAAATTTAAGTCTATACAGTGATCAAAGTTCATATTTATAAGTAATCAATTTAATTGCATGATTTACAACAGTTGAGGGTTTTTGCTTTCTATTTTCAAGTTTTACAGAAAGTGTGTGTGTGTCGGGGGGCAGGGTCGGGAGGAAGAAAGCAAGCAGAGAAACCCCAGGGACATTTGCATGTTAAAATCATCCCAACGGAAGTGTTTCTTACCCTCTTTTTAATTTTTTTTTTTCTGTTAGATGTAAAAATAACAAAAAAAATCTTTCGAGAAACAGAACCACAGTATATAATACATCAATTTGGCAGCTGCCCCTGTATATTTTGAAAAAGTCATTTTTCTCTCTACATGTACAAATTATTTTAATACTTGAAGTTTTTACGCTTAGACTTAAGGAATAGAAAATTTTCTGGAGCACAAAAGTTGACTTGAGGGGAAGGAAAGGATTTTTTTTTTCTTTCATTTTACATTTTAAAAAGAATGAACATCTTTGCACCCAGAGAAAAAAATTGGTATTTTAATATATATTTATATATATTTATATATATATAATATATATAGAATGTAATTTTAAAGTAACATTAACCCCTTTTGTCCTCTGGTTTTAGAAATGTTCTTTTTTAACTCTTCCATAAAGTGAGGAAAATAGGGAAAAATGTCAACCATCTGCACCAGTAAATAATAACTATTAATATTACATATTTTCATTAATTTAAAAAAAATAATAAAACCTATCGGAGGTGCTAGGCAGGAGCACGTGTGGCTTCGCAGGCCTTAGCGCCCTCCCAGTGCACACTTGAACCACACACACAAAGGGGAAGGCTGGTGGGAACCAGCACTAACAAAAATATATTCTTTGTGTTCTATCATCCCTCAGGTTCATCTTGCATGTTTGCTTTAAACCACAAACAGCTACTGCACAGTTCGTATGTGTTCCAAGGAAAATTGTCTTTTAGGCTAAGAAAGTTTCAAAAAAATTGTTTTCAGTACAAAACAGTCTTGTTAAGAGAAAATAATTTTTTTGCTCCCAAAATACTACAAGGTGTCTCTAGTGTATGTCTAGTGTACTCTGTGAGAGGTTTGAATTCAAGTCTGAGTTATCGGTGCTGAGTCCCAGGTCCGTGGCGCTTGCACCATGGAGGTTTGCCATGCCTGGATTGCCAGTGAGCTGAGAGAGCATTGAATTCTGGTCCGGGCTGGCAAAATGCCCTTGTTCCATGGGGTTGGCCTGGGCGGCCACCAGTCCCGGGTGTGGAGAACTGGTTTGTGGGGACACGTGGTGTGGAGAAGGCTGAGGCTGCATCCTCGGGGAAGGGCTGGAGTGAGGGGGCTGAGACTGTGGCCGCGGAGAAGGGACTGGCTGGGGAGAACGCACTTGATTGGAGAGAGAAGGAGGGAGCTGCTGGCCTGGGAGGTGTGGGGACTGAGCCTGATTTGGGAGCATATGCTGCTGGGGGCTCATGGGGTTGGGCTGAGCAGGGGACCCCATCTGTTGCTGAAGGAGTCGCTGCTGGTAGGCCTGCAGACTGGCTCCAGCCTCTGCTCCCAGGGCCTGGGGGAGCTGGCCCATCTGTCCCATGTTTCCTTGTTGCATCTGCTGCATGTGATGCTGCATCCTCTGCTGCTGCTGCTGCTGCTGCTGCTGCTGCTGCGGGGGGTAGCCCACCCCTTGGGGCTGCTGGAACTGGCTGTGGTTGGCCATCCCGGGGCCAAGTCCGGGCCCCGCTCCCTGCTGCTGCATCATCTGCTGCCGCCTCAGGATGTCTCGGAACTGGGCCGGCATGGCGCTGTGGTTCATGTTCATCTGCTGGGCCTGGGGGCTCATGCCCCCCATGGGCGGCTGCATCGGCGGCGGCGGCTGCGGCGGGGGCAGGCCGGCCCGCTGCACGCCCGCCTGCATGGGGCTCATGGTCTGCATGGCGGGTCCGGAGTGGACGCCCTGCTGCACAGGCATGGCGGGCGGCTGCAGCCCCGGCTGGCCCGGGGGCATGCCGGGCTGCCCGGGGAGGTTCTGCGGGTTCGAGTTGGCATACTTGGCGGCCCGCTGCTTGATGAACGCAGCCAGCAGCTGGGGGTTGGCGTGGAGGATGCTGAGCACCTGTTGCTGCTGGAGGGGGGAGCTGGGAGACCTGAGAGTCCGCAGCAGGTTCTGTAAGGCTTGTTGAGACACAGTGCCTGGCTTGAGAGGGCTCACCCCGACCTGGCCCAATCCTGGTTGGGGAGCCATGTTCAAGGGCTGGCCATGCTGGGCCACGGACATCATGGCAGGCCTCGGCATCCCGGACTGCAGTTGTTGGGGCTGAGGCAATCCTCCTTGGGCCCACGGTGGCTGTTGCTGCATCCCAGGGGGCCCCATCCCGGGCTCCAGATGCCCGCTGGGGCCTCTGGCCATGGGCGGCGGGTTCATGCCCATGGGCGCCATCTGGGGCATCTGGTGCTGGATCGGCCTCTGGAAGATCTGCACGTGGGCCATCTGGCGCTGCGTCTCGGCTGCCCTCTGGATCTGCATGGCCACCTCCACTGCCGCAGGCGGGGGCCCCGGGAGGGGGGGCTGGGCCGTCTGAGGCGGGGTCGGAGGGGTCACCTGGCCGGGTGCTTTGCCTTGGGACACGGGGCCGGCAGCTTGAGTCCTGGGCAGGTAGGGCGGCATGCTGTTGGGAGGGGTGGGCTGCGGCTGAGACGGGGGCTGGGGCTGGGGCGTCTGTGGGGTGGTGGGCTGTTGGCTGGTCGGCGTGGTCGGCGTGGCAGGAGTCGGGGAGGGCAGGCCCTGCTGCTGTCCCACCACACCCGTGCGCTGCATGCTGGCCATCCTCCTGCGGAGCATCTGGGCCTGCTGGAGCCGGTGCTGCAGCTGCTGCTGCCGGAGCTTTTGCTTGATGTTCAGGCAGAACGGCACAGGGCACTTGTTCTCCTGGCAGTGCTTGGCGTGGTAGCAGCAGAGGGCGATGAGCTGCTTGCAGATGGGGCACCCTCCGTTGGTTTTCCGTTTGCAGCCCTTGGTGTGCTGCACGACCCGTTTCATCTTCTGGCAGGAGGGCAGGGAACAGTTGGCATTGCGGCACTGGCAGGCGTGCACCAGGGACTGGATGCAGCGCTGGATGCTCAGGCGGCGGGAGTCTCCTGGGCTCTGGGTGGCCGCGGCCTGCTGGTTGTTGCTCTCATCGTCTAAGCCGAGACCTAGTTTCTCCATTTTGTGGTCATGGTTTTTAGTGTTATAGCAGGTGATACACAAATCGTAATCCTGGGGGGGAAACACAGGTGTAAGGTCAACTCCAAGACAAGTCATTCCAAAGCATCTATCTGATCTGTATAAAAGCCTAACCACCTTTCTGCTAGTATCTATGACGTGCACTGACCACCAGGGGTCAGACGCTCAGTGCAGGGGCTGCTGAGCTGCAGTGACTTGGCAGCTGTGGTTCTCGGGTGACACGCCCAGAACCAGAGAGGAGGGAGCCCGATTTCAGGGTGTGTCACCGAGAACCCCCTCTCACAATCCGGGATCCCTCGGGGGATGTTGGAAAACCGGTTCCAGCCTGATCCCCACAGGCCAGGCAGAGGGACCCACTGGTGCATGAGTCCGTGCACCGGGCCTTTAGTTGTACACATTCTGCTCGAGCGCAAAAGCCCCTCTGGTTCTGCCATCAAACACGCAGGCCGGCCCGGCACCCACCTCGCAGACGGTGCAGTGCCAGCGCGTCTCCACGTGGTGCTTGCACTCGTTGCAGGTGTAGACGAAGCGGTCCTGGCTCTGGGTGTGCAGCTCCACCAGCATGCACATGGTGGACCACTGCGCCCTCCGCAGGGAGGAGAACTCCAGGTGCTTGTCCCTCGCGAGGGTGAGAAAGGCGTCCCGCCCGTCCATCAGGTCGCAGGGGATGAGGGGGTCAGGGTCAATGATGGGAGGCAGGGAGTTGGCGGCAGGGCCAGCGATGAGACGGATGACAAAGAAAACCTGCAAAACAGACGATCTCATTCTGACTGGGGCTCGAGCGCCCACCGAGTGGGCCAGGGACAGTGGGCAGTGAGTCAGACTGGGCCCAGGAGGCCGACGGACACTGAGTCAGCGACCCTGCCCCCTCCTGCTTCACGTCGCTGGTCTTTCTCTGAGACTGTCTACAAGGGCCCAACATCTACGCCTATCTTTCCTACCCCATTCAATAACTTCTTTAAAATAAGAATCAACAGGTCAGGTACAGTACACGTACAGTGGACATTTCACCTCAGAGAAGTCTACTTTCATGGTTTAATCTGAATCTAATCACGAGAAAGAAGAAAAAAAAGACAAACTGTACAAAATGTAAATCTTGTAAGGCTTGTGAAGGCCTGCGCACTTGTACAAAATGCCTGTGACCTGAGAAATGGGCTGGGAGCTAAGGCACAGCAGCTCCACACGCTCCTCAGCTGCTGGGCCGTGCGAGGACGGGCACGGACAGCGGCCTGAGTGCGAGGCCAGCGCCTGGCCAGGCAGTGTCTTCTCTCTTGGAAGGCACTTGCTGTCGAGACCGGTTTGGCTCAGTGGATAGAGCATCGGCCTGTGGACTGAAAGGTCCTGGGTTCGATTCCGATCAAGGGCATGTACCTTGGTTGTGGGCACATCCCCGGAGAGGGCGTGCAAGAGGTAGCTAATTGATGATTCTCTCTCATCGATGTTTCTAACTCTCTATCCCTCTCTTTTCCTCTCTGTAAAATATCAATAAAAAATATTAAAAGAGAAAAAAAGAAAGAAAAAAAGAAGGCACTTGCTGAAACCAAGAGAGGGGAAATGCAGCAAAATGGTAGCCATTGGCGACTCTCAATGGAGGGTGTGGGAGGAGGTCCTTTAGGAAACTTCCCTGTGAGTTTGAAACAACAAAAATGGCGAGTGGGAAAGATAAAGCAAGCAGCGAATGTTCTGCTCATGGAAGTCTGAACACACACCCCCATTCATTCTCGTTCCCCGCAGTGGAAAGGCTGCAATGAGAAGCTGGTGTATGTGTTTGCAGTTAACCAGTATATAAACTATAAACTCTTATTAATCTAATAAAATGTAAAATGGTGCCTTCCTGAGACCAGGACGCTGTGAGCAGCTGCTGTACTGCCCTCTGAACTGTGCCCGTGTCCCAGAGACTAAAACTGTGCACGCTAGCAGCGAGACTCACCTCAGCTTGGGCAGCATGCAGCATACACAGCTCAGAGAGAAGATGCACAGGAGAAGGGAGCGTGCTGAGCAGAGGCAGATGCCAGAATGAGTTAAAAGCGCACAGGGAGGCTGTGACGGGGTGTTTGACTTTGTAATATTGGGTTTAAGATTGTGGCTCCAAGGGAAGCACTCGGAAAGCAAGAAAGAGCGTTTGGCAGTGTGGCCAGAGGAAAGCACTCGAACGAGTGGGGAATGCCTAACCCACTCCAATAGAGGAGAACAAAACCCAGCTGGTGACTCCCTAGGAGATCTGCTCCACGGCCAGCCCTCTAACCACCACGACTGATCCACTGTGTGCCGCTCTGTAGCTAAGGGGCAGTACTGGAATCTAACCTGAATCGTCAACGTTAGATTTCAATTCCTCACAGTGACTACTACCACCTAAATCGTAAATAGTGGGAGTTTTATTCATTCTAAGTCAAACCCATCACAACAGGACTTTCCCAACTGCTGTTATGTTAGAACTTTGTGACACCACATGTCGCTCTAAATAGCTGATTATCTCAGAAAGGCACACATTAGAACTAAGAAATTCTTCCGTTTCACTAGCATGGTTGAGGCAATGGTATTAGCCCTCTATCATTGTAGGCTAGCCTGCTGACTGATTTCAGAGAGGAAGAGAGAAGGAGAGAGAAAAACATCAATGATGAGAGTGAATCATTGATTAGCTGCCTCCTACATACCCCCTACTGGGGACTGAGCCCGCAACCCAGGCATGTGCCCTTGGCCAGAATGGATTCCGGGACCCTTCAGTCCGCAGGCTGACGCTCTATCCACTGAGCCAAACCAGCTAGGACTGACCTTACTTCTTTAGCCTTCAACAAAGAAGGCATGGGGGTCCAGCTGGTGTGATTCAGTGGTTGAGCATTGACCTATGAATCAGAAGGGCACAGTTTGATTCCCAGGTAGGGCATATGCTTGGGTTGCAGGCTTGATCCCCAGTAGGGGACATGCACGAGGCAGCCAATCAGTGGCTCTCATCATTGATGTTTCTCTCTTTCCCTTCCTCTCTTGAAATCAATAAAAGAAAATTGTGTGTGTGTGTGTGTGTGTGTGTGTGTGGGGGGGGGGGTTCTTTCTTTGAAATTTTGACCAGCAGGCAGGCCGAACTTCTGGTCGAGGGGACAATTTGCCTTTTATTATAGAGGATGTACAATGAGTGGCCAGATTATGCGTGCAGAGATCATAATATGGCTACTCAGTGTATAGTTAAAGGAGTAGTGGTGTATGGGAAAAGATACTTTCAAGAGCTGTATAGGTCAATACCACTACAATAGGTAACTCTCAAACTCCAGCCTTCAGTTCCTTCTCCGCATATTAGCCACTTCCTGTAAGGACTTGATTATGATGTCTGAACAGAGAGGAACTTAGACATTACAAATCAGACATGTTACCCTTTAAGACTTCTCTCACCAATGATGATGTTGGAAGGAAAAAGAACCCCAGCACACCCTACAAGTAGGTAACTTAGATAATGAAATAATTGTTTTAACTTCTCGGAGAAGAGGTTTCAAGTGTATTTATGAAAGTTTGACTTTTCTTCTTTAATTCTCTCCACCTTCCAATTCCCTTTCAGGAAGGTCAAGTCAACATTCTGATTCATTTGTTTGGCCAAAGTTCCACTCCAAACAAACTGGAACGGCCAGTGGTGTTCTAAGGAACTTGGTTTAAGACAATCTCCTGAACAATGGTGAACCAACAAGATAAACTGTGCTTTCAAAACCCACTGTCGTGTGCCACCTCAAAGCTGGGATATATTCTAAGAAATGCACCATCATGCGACGTCATAGTGTACTTACACAAACCTAGATGTATGTGCTATGCTTGTACACGCCCGGCAGCACCATAAACCTGAGTGATGCTGCGCTACGACAACAGCTGTTACGCTGTTAGGTGACAGGCATTTTCCAGCTTATCTTATGGGACCACCACTGGCCAAACGTCACCAGGCAGCACATAGCCGTGTCAGACACAATCCAACACCATCTAGATGCATGACAGCTGCAAATCGAAGCAACCTTATTTTCCTGTTCTCATCACAACCCTAGCTGCCCTCTTCCTTCCTTCTCATGCTAATGACTTCCTCGTCCCGAAATTCCAATCTGGGGCTACATCGTACATGCCAACCATGGTGGGCAGCGTTTTTGGAAGTCCTGCCTGCTTGTCTCCTGTTCTTACCTCTTTGTGCTTCTCCATGGTGGCGTACAGCTTCTGCGAGAGGTCGTTGGACACGTTGGGCATGCCTGGCTTCTTCTTATTGCCCCTGCTCAGGCTGCTCTTGTTTTTGCTGGTTTTCTTATTATTCTTCTTTTTAGCATTTTTGCTGTCTCCCTTTGTCACCTGCAGCATGGCAAAAAGGAGACAAGAAAATGCTAACGCTGTCAGGAAGTGATTGAGTAGTATGAACGGTAAAGAAAGGCTCCTTTCTTTGAAACGAGAGATCAGTTATGTCTTCCACCAAATGCTCTGTACTGGTTTTAAGCTGTTATTTACAGTAACATCTCTCCCAGTGAAGAAGCTCTGCACCGAGACCCCTCATTAAGGCCACGGCAGTCTGAGCTTTTTGACCAGGGGAGCCCCATAGTTTGGAGACCCTTCAGATCCAACAACCCTGTCTCCGAACTGAGGATGGGAAACAAGGAGTGGCAGTGTGGGGCAGTGAAGGGTGCACAGAAGTGGTGAGCCGAGGACTTGGACTCATTGACATATACTCACATTCAATAATTTTATGGGTCTACTTGAAAAAAACAACAAAAAAACAAAACACTCTTGAAAAACATCCAATCAATGAATTTAAACAGTAAGGCTGTAAAGAGTTCTACAGACTACTTAGGATGACTTTAGAAGGCCAAACTAAATGAGGGCAATTCTAGCATGCTGTGAGTAAATAACAGACTGGAAAAGCTCCTTAGATGACCCTCCTACAAAACCAAGCTCTGTACACAGGGGACTAGTAAACTATGGCCAGGCCTGTTTTTGTTATTAAAAGGGAGAAAAAAGTGTCGGAGACAATATATCCATAATCTGGACCATTAGAGAAACTGAAGTTTACCAACCCCCTTCTAACTGTCAGTTATCAAGGTTATCAGTTATTAAGGTTTTCCTTCTGTTTCCATGATCAGCTTCCACACTGGAAACCCAAGATTCCATTTACAAAGGGGGTCTCATGCTGAGAGAGTTTAAGACCACAGAAATAGGACCTTGGTAACTTAGCCAATATTTCTTGCCCAATTGAAAGAGGTCTTGCAGTCCTGGTCAGCGATATTCAGAGACTATCGGCCCCAAACGGAAGGGTCATGGGATTGATTCCAATTCCTACCGGGTTACAGGTTCCCTACCCTAGTTGGGGAGGCAACCAATTGATGTGGCTCCTCACATCAATGTTTCTCTCTCTTCCCATGTCTCCCTTCCACCTCTAAAAATAACCTCCAGTGAAGATTAACAAAGACAAAAAAAAAAAAAATCAAAGAGCTCTTTCACACCTGAGAGCTGTAACCAAGCTGAAAGTTTACGCTCACTTCTGGTTTATAGATGAGAATCAAGGTGCAAGTTGGAAAGGAAAAGGAAAGGAAAAGCCCTTACATCTGTGCTTTCATTACTGGTGTTTTCCTCTCGCTTCCTCTCTTCCTCCTCCTGTTCCAGTTCCTTAATGCTCTCTTCCAGAACATTGGGCCAGAAATCACCTTCAAAGTAGGGCAATTCCTTTGCACTTGTTAACCGATCTTCAGTAGCTTGTTTAAAAATATCCTGTGAAAATATCCAGGCACGAAATTAAATATCTATTTTTTTTTTTTTTTAAAAAGGCATATATTATACAAAAGCAGTCACAACTAATGCACATATGAAACACCAAGGATTAAAATGTCTTCTAGTCCTGGCAGTGTGGTTCAGTAGTGAGTGCCTACCTGTACACTCAAGGGTCGTGGGTTCGATTCCCAGTCAAGGTCACGTACCTTGGTTGTAGGTTCAATCCCCGGCCCTGGGGAGGGGTGCATGTGGGAGGCAACCAATCACATCAATGTCCCTGTCCCCCCCTATTCTTTGAAAACAACAAAACAGTAGAAAATATACGCTTGGGTGAGGATTTTAAAAAAAGTCTTCTAAAATGATGGCAGAGATTTTTTTTAAGTCTAAGCATCATGCCAGGAAGACATTTAGTGTCATAAACAGTGAAAGGGCTGACTCAAACCTCTGGTTTTCTTTTTCCTCTACCCACACAGGCAGGAGGATTACCTGCCTTTATACAGCAAGTGGTAACCACCCCGCAGAGGCGCCGTCACTTACACAGGCTCTGGCTGCTCCTATGACAAAGGCGGCGCCGTGTGCAGCACGCCCGCCTCGGACCCCCCGTGGAGTCCCGGCAGCTTTCACTGAGCAACATGTTCATCACAAAACCACAAAGACCGGGAGCTACATGGCTACAGAGATTCTGCTGTGCTGCTGGGAGCACACCAGCTAATGATTCCCGCCCCAAGAGTAAAAACAGGTAAGATATTCAGCACAAGTTCTTATTTTGAGAGACCCTATTATTATTAACAAGTGACTATTAAGAATACATTTAGTCAAATCTTTAAAACAAATTGTTGATCTAGGATTCTTGTTTTTCTTACTTTGAAAAAGTTTGACTACAGAAAAGAGAATATTAAACACTGATACATTCAACTGACTAGATTTAACAGTTTTTAAACATTTTCCCAGATATAAGCCATCTTAATAATCTAAGCAAAGACGGGACCGGTTTGGCTCAGCGGATAGAGCGTCGGCCTGCAGACTGAAAGGTCCCGGGTTCGATTCCGGTCAGGGGCATGTACCTTGGTTGCAGGCGCATCCCCAGTGGGGGGTGTGCAGGAGGCAGCTGATCGATGATTCTCTCATTGATGTTTCTAACTCTCTATCCCTCTCTCTTCCTCTCTGTGAAAAAATCAATAAAATATATTAAAAAAAAAATCTAAGCAAAATAAAAACACTTTACAAAAGTAGCATAATTGCATAAGTTACATGGAAGAGGGGGAACCCATAGCAGCTTTTTAAGACAGTGACGTGCAGAACACAGAGCAGGATCAGTGTCTCCACTCCATCACCCCCCCGCCCCCCTGACCTTGTAGTCATGGACGATCCGCTCGGACACGGACTTGTCCAGCATCTTCTTGTACCACTCCTGCAGTCGCTTGGGCTTGGGGATCTTCTGGTCAGGTGGATGGCAATGGAAAATGTAGTCGTCTCCTTCACTTGGGGGACATGCCCAAATGTGCCCTGTGGTATAACTAACAATACAAAGAGAAGGAACATTCAACAGAAATGATCATCGATTCTGGGAAGAATGCCACACTACACTACAAGGTGAAGTCAAAAGGGAAACCAATGATTCGCCCCCAAGACAATGCAAAGTAGATAATCCAGCATCAGATCCAAGTTCTTGGCCAGAACTAACATGGCGCACAGCAGTGACAGTGGAGTCACACTGCCTAGTGCTTCTCAGAGGTTCCATGGAGGCTAGTTGTTGAAGGATGGGAGGGTGGGGAAGAAAAGATCCAAATTTGCATTTAAAAATCAAATGAAAGCTACAATGCAAACAGAAATCGATCCATTTCAATAAGAAAGCTGAACAGCAGTAACCGGTTTGGCTCAGTGGTAGAGCCTCTGTCTGCGGACTGAAAGGTCCCAGGTTCAATTCCGGTCAGAGGCATGTACTATGTTGATTTCGGGCACATCCCCAGTAGGGGGTGTGCAAGAGGCAGCTGGTAGATGTTTCTCTCTCATCGACGTTTCTAGCTCTCCATCTCTCTCCCTCCCTCTCTGTAAAAAATCAATAAAAATATATTTAAAAAAAGAAAAAGAAAAAGAAAGCGGAGCAGCCTGCAAGGTGAGGTGTAAGGAACCAGTCTGACACATTTCTATATCGATCGCCAGACCTGTGCTTTGGTTTTGATTCTCAGGTATAAAAGGATCAATGCAAACGTTCAAGGTTCTGGTCCTAAACGAGTAACAATCAACTCTGAAACAAAACTGTGCCGAACAGCTGAACAAAACAAACTAGTCTGGGATGGCTGTAACATCAGAACTCTCCAGCGAGAGTCAAGTTCCAATTCTATTAGAGGAAACCAAAGCTGAGAGAAAAGGTAAAAAGTTATATATTTTTACGTTTCAATTTATGTCTTATCACAATATCACAGTGGTAATTAATTTAAACCATTTAAAAAATGCCATTTGCTATTCAGATGCTTACCCTAGTTTCTTGACATATTCTAGATAGCCAATGAGGATTTCATAATAGACGGCAGTCCTCAAGCACTTGGGGCGGAAGAAGTGGACGCTGTCGAGGTAGGATATGTATACTCTCCTGTGACAGAGGGGAGAGAAACCAAGGCGGTCAGCACGGCTTCCTTGCCAGAGTGCTAAAATACACGCGCTCTCCACGCTCTTTACAGCTCACCTTGTCACCATGGTATGACTGCCAGGTGTTTACGTGACTAGACTGTGAACCCTTTACAGGAGCCCAATGAGCCTAAGGCTCTATTATAGTCTCCGCTCCCAGCGTGCCTGAAACAGTTTATCAACCGTATTTATGGATCCAAATGTATTCTGGCAGCACTCTTCTTCTGGCCTTTATACTATTTTGGAAACAAATCCTAAGCCATATTTCTACCTGATCTGTATGACATTCGTTCACATACTTCTCAGCAAGGTACTTATCTAGATTTAAGCCCATTTTCTGAAAAGGAGTGTTTCTTTCCCATCCCAGGCTGCTATTCACAACACTCTCCTTATTAATATGACCACAGAAAAGCAGTATTGAGCAGTACTTTGTGTTTTTGGTTTCATTTCAATACTACAGTCGAGAATTTGCATTTCCAAACCAAGTACATCAAACAGCTCTTCTGCCCATTTGGCCTTTCATCCATACCAGAAGGCAGCTCTGTAACCCTTACCTCTGGTTGGGCGGAGGGCAGTCGGAGCCATACTCCTGAACGTGCATGCCAAAGAAGCACAAGTCCACACCATCAATCTCTTCAAAGGCAAAGAGGGCTTTGGTGCGATAGGGAAAGGACTCCGCCATCTCTCCACTATCCACAAACCTACACAATTCAGATTGGAGGGAAAACACATGTCATTCAGATTAGAATCATCAATAGTAACTGGGTGAGCAAGTGTGGATGGATCCAAAGAGAAGAGGATACCTTGCTTTCATGCCTGGTTTGACTTCCACAGTTTTGTCAGAAGCATGAACGACACGAACAGTGACTTCTCCCGACTCAGGGTGATTTTGTCTCCTCAGAAAATCATTCACACGATTCTCTAGAAAGGTGCCAAGCCTAGTGGATGGCAACCCTAGGGATGCAGAAGTTTAAAGTTCAGTAGTAACCAAGATGCAAATGATTACTGTTAAAAGCAAGCAATGCAGTCAGATTCCCGCATGGAAGACTTCATGAATTCACATTCATCCTTGCACGGGGCCGTGCTGATCTTGTCTCAGTCATTCCAGTATATATACAGTCAAAGCAAGCATGGCGTCAATACTTCTTAAATGTTATTTCCCCCAACTTTTATTTTGAAAGCTATAATTTCAGAAGTTAAGAAATAGACCAAATATCCATATGCACTTTGCCTCGATTTGCAAAACTAATTAAAAAAAAAGTATTTTAGAGTAAGAAAAAGATATCAATGTGAGAGAGGCATTGACCAGTTGCCTCCTGCATACACCCCCACCTGGGACCGAACCTGAAAGCAAGGCATATGCCCTGATCAGGAACGGAATCAGGACGGGATGATGCCCAACCAACTGAGCCACATGGCCAGTGCTGCAAAAATAATTTTTAAAAACGATGGATATTATGAGAAACCTTGCAGGAATAAAAGTGACCTGTAGATCAGCAAAGAATTGCAAAGGCACTTACGAAACTAAACCAAATACTGTTAGACAAATTAATACTAATATAAAAATTCCCCTCCTCCCCCCAACCCTCAACTGAAAAGGTCACAGGTCTCAGAGCACCCCCCGCTGATGGTATGGACAAAAGTTAAGAGAACCGTTGATGGAATGGCAATTCTGGCCAAATATTTCCAGACCTGGCACCCATTAAAAAATAGTCCAAATATGGAGAAATGCAGAAAACAAGAGAACAAAATGTCCATTTTACAAACCCTAATCCCTGAAATGTTTTTCTTAGGTCTAACGAATTTCACATCAAAAAGTACACTACAGTTCAATTCTAAGTGCATACACTATAGAAACATTTCTAGTTTGGTTAAATATTTTAAATAAGATTGAAACAGTCATTCATTTTAGACAGCTTATTAACTGCTTCAGTGAAGTGCTACCACGCTGTACCTGTAAAAATGAAACTTACTCTTAGCAGAAAACTTATTTTCTTTCCTAGTTCGTGCAGTTTTCTTCAAACAGCCATCACAGACAAACCTTAAATGTAAATAAAACTTTGGTTACAAAACTCAGAGAAACAAAGTAATGGATACTACATAATCTAGCGTATGTACTGGTAGGTGTCAAGTTAAAATTCAAAAGAGGACTTGGGAGAAATAGAAACATTTCTACACATTAACAAAAAGTTAATACAAATGTATGTGAAGAGCTTGTAGATATCATTCACGTACAAAAAAGGAAAAACTGAATTGAAAAATAAAAGACATGAAGAAATGTGAAGGGCATATAAACTGCCTTACATGTGAAAATGACGAAGGATTATAGGTTAAGATAGGAATTTTGGTTTTTGGCAAAACTTGAGTATCAGTCTGTTTGCTTCTGATCGATATTTAAGTGGGTACATTCAGAAGTACCAATAGATTTAAAATATACATTTTTAAAAATCCTCACCTGAAGAGATTAAAAAATTGATTATTTAGAGAGAGAAAGAGAGAGAGAGAAAGAGAGAAGCTGTCTCCCATACAGGGATCAAACCCGCAGCCTGGCTACGTTCCCTGAATGGGAAATCAAACCCGAGGCCTGACGCATGGATGACATTCCAACTAACTGAGCCGCCAGCCAGGGCCAAATGGACATCTTTCATGTTCCTGCAGTTACTGAGGATGTGTATCTTAGCTGAATTTCTTACAAAAACCTGAGAGGTCAGAAGTTGCAGGAATCACTGCCAATCTGTTAATTATTCTCACCCATTCTGTAATTAAGGAGAACACTAAAAATTCATATCTATAGACAAGCCACATAAATATCAACTACTATGAGTTTCCTGAGTTATTTTCTGGAAACCTGTTAGCCTTCTCTTTCCTGTGACCTTCAAACCAGCATCAATAGTCCAAGAAAAGAGCAGAGGACAGTATTGACAGAGATCCCACCCTAAAAGTCACTTGATACACAGACTCTCCTCCTTGTCCCCTTCCCTTGGACAGAGCGGGGACTAGCCCCAGGCAGTAGCAGGCTAAGTGTCCCAAAACCTCCACATCAAAGTCAGTGAAGATGGGCAGCTTGGATAAGTGTGTGCAGAATACACAGAAACAGAACACTGGCCCGAGAACAGATGTTAACTGAAGTCTGTATCCAGTCACTTTATGCAATTCTGCCTTTCACTGAACAACAGCTATTGCCTTATTACTACAGCCATTAACCTTACTGCCCAACCTCCCAAAAAATGTTTACGTCTAATCCTAACCAGGGCCATCATTTAATGTACTATTCAGTGTAATGTTTCTCAAAGGGAAAAAGGTGTTCCCTTAGTACCCTCATATCTGTATCTTCTGATTTTTCTAACGCAGTATAAGCAAACATTCAAAATTTGGTAAATTTAATTGCATCTAACACCCCCTTGCTAGTTTCCAGGTGGTAGAGATTTATTGTTACCTCTATTCAAAATCTTTAATAAGCATTTACTTTGAATGTAACCAAGATCACAAAATAATCCTATATAATGAAAAGCTAATATGCAAACCAACCAAACGGTGGAACGACTGTTCGCTATGATGTGCACTGACCACCAGGGGGCAGACACTCAACACAGGAGCTGTCCCTCCTGGTAGTAAGTGCGCTCCCTCAGGGGGAGTGCCGCTCAGCCAGAAGCCTGAACCGGACCCGTGGCTGGGGAGCACAGCGGTGGCGGTAGGAGCCTTTCCCACCGCCACGACAGTGCTAAGGATGTCCGCCTGCAGGCTCAGCGCGCTCCACACGGGAGTAGACCTAAGCTGTCAGCAGGACATGCCCTCAAGGGCTCCTGAATTGCAAGAGGGCCCAGGCTGGGCTGAGGGACGCCCCCTCCCCCGAGTACATGAATTTCGTGCACTGTGCCTCTAGTTTAAAATAAAACTACATGCAAACAAAAAAATAACTTATTTTGATTTTAGGTTATTTAATGTTTTAAATCTGGGTTTAAATTAGCTTTTCCCAATCCAAATAACAATTTTAGAGACAGTAACTTTAAAGATATGATATAATCACTGCAAAGACAAAAACTCATTAAAACTCATGATGAAGAAAGAGTCTAGATAAATACTGGTGTCTCACCCAGATGGCCAGATGATCTCATGATGAAGGACACAGATCTGATGCATCTTTCTTCCACATTCTGTACATTCAACAAACCTGGAAGTAAAATGCCAAAGTATCTAAAGACTCGAAATAATAGTTTTTACAAGATCTTTACTGTTACAGGTAGAACAAATTTCAAAGAAATTAAATGTGACATATTTAAATGTGACCAGAACAGCCAGGACCGGTTTGGCTCAATGGATAGAGCGTCGGCTTGGGGACTGAAGGGTCCCGGGTTCGATTCCGGTCAAGGGCATGTACCTTGGTTGCGGGCATATCCCCAGTAGGGGGTGTGCAAGAGGCAGCTGATCGATGACTCTCTCTCATCGATGTTTCTAACTCTCTATCTCTCTCCCTTCCTCTCTGTATAAAATCAATAAAATATATTTAAATGTGACCAGAACAGCAGTAAAATGTGAATGATTCCTACTTCCAAATGAATCTGACACCACCTCCGCCACTCTTGGGATGCCTACTCCAGTGGGGCATGTCAGCGCTCTGAGAGGCCTCGCCACCAAGGAGGGCCTGTGAGCTTGTTTGAAAATGCAGAGGACAACAGGGATGGATCACATTGCCCTGGGCAGAGGTAGCTAGGAGCCCTTTGGGCCTATGAACACCAATATTAGGTCACTTTAGAGGAATCTAAACAAATACTAACTGTAATGTAAACACCTACATTTCTACCACCTACATTAGTTGTATGTATGTAGATTCAACCCAATATAGAATCATCTCACTGACCATGCAAACCAAGAAAACGAAGAAGGAAAATCTAAGTGTACTGACTATTCAAGGAAATCTACTTACAGTTCAGGATCCAGTGTGTCATTTTTTCTCTTGGAAAACTGTTCTTTATTTATTGTACTAAAGAGAGAAGAGGGACACAATGAGAAAAAGCAATGTAGAAAGTTGAGCATTCTGACCACTGTTCTCTCCCAAGGAATAAATCTCATAAGTGGTTTATTTAAATCTTTTGAGAATATATTAAGCAGGTACATTCTTGGCTCACATAAAAAGCATGTTTACATAAAGGAATACCTATGTTTTTGGAAAGGACTTTAGCGTAAATCTATTTCTCTTTATAGAAGAAACCAGGAAGAACTTAGAAACGTGAGGTAATTCTCCTTTTCCTTTTAAAATTGTGCCTGATATTCTTAATTTTATGTATTTTTTGTCTTTTAATTGTTTAATGTTCCTAGACTGAACTATAAAAGATGGTGTTAATAGAGGCAACTATTTAAAAATAATACTCATTTTTCAGGGAAGTCTAGTCAAATAACTTTTTACATTAGAGAAAATTTCAATATCAAAAAAAGTTTTCAAGGTTAAAATTCCTTATAGTAATTATTTAAAAAATTTCACATGGCGTCCTAACCATCCAGAACTGGCATGCCACACTCTCTGACAGCCTCACAAATACAGAAGCTAACACTCTATCATTCTCCATCCACAGTAAACTTAAGGGGGCCCAACTCTGACTACTGTGATTCTTCTTCACAAAAATGAGGCACGTCCACAAGTCCAGCCACACATCTCTACACGGCGTGAGACCTTGCTAGTAATGCAGACTCCCAGGTCAGCAATATCAGAATGTGGTTTCTACTCTTCAAAGCCACAGCTGCACTGTGCGAACACGTGGTAAGACACTCAACAGTGCCAATAGCAAGGCTGCTTCCTTCCCTGCAGCAGGGACGCCTCGCTAGAGGCCTGCCTTCCCTGGGTCAGCCAATGTCAGAAAGCCTCCATAAGGCTCAGGGACCTTGTACCTACTCCCCAGATCAAAGCCTGACTGCACTAAATTGTACTGCAGTGGTGATTAAAGTTAATGCGCAACTTCAAAAAACCTAATTTGGAAAAATTAATGTTTTTCAATGAAGTCCTATTTTACTAGTAACATAACAATTCCATATTTTTTTTTAAGAGTACTTGGAATTGCTTTTGTTTATTATGGGTTAAACCAGAAAAGAAGCTGAAAAATATTAAAAATACACCAAACAGTTCTTTCTTCCTAAACGGTCCAAATTTGAATACAATGTCTGTCTAAGTCTGAGAGGTTAGAAGTACTCTGAGCCCTGGCCAAGGTCAGGCTGCCTGTGGGAGGCAAGCAATCGATATGTCTTTTTTACATTGATGTTTCCCCTCTTTCTCCTCTATCCTTCCCTTCTTCTCTCTACAAATCAATGGGAAAAATATACTGAGGTGAGGATCAACAACAAAACAAAACATGTGCAATGAGGCATTCTGGACATGTTTGAAATTTTTCCCTTGGCATTCACCAAAAAATAAGAACTTGTAAGATCTTAAAAAGCCCAACGAAGTCTCTAAGTTACTCTAACAAAGGTTGTTTAATACTATTCACAATTACAGTGACTTCTGTATTATTAACTTAGATGAAAAGGCTGTAAGATTTTGTTTAATTCCCCTCAAATTCAAAACTGTTAATAGCGAAGCTCCCTGGCACTACACACTTTCAGCATTGAGGAAAGAAGCTGAGTGTTTCCTTGTAGAAGCAATATATCTACAGAGACCCCCAGTACTGACGAGTCCCTCAACCAGCACTAACAGAACCTATAGAAACTTTCCTTATCTGTGCTAACCAATATGGCAGCCACAAACCACAGATGTCTATGAAGCATTTAATAAGTAGCGAGTGCAAGTGAGAAACAACTTTACGTTTTACTTTCTTTTAATTAGTTTGTGTTTCAGTAGACACCTGTGGCTAATGGCTACCACATTGGACAGCATAATCCAAGACTGAGCATAATCATCTGACAACACACTAAGATGGCACATTTGAAAATGAGCAGGTACTTACGTTTGAGGCTGGGAAGGGTCATCCCCCAAAGAAACGCTCTCCCCTTGGATTTCATTGAAACACTTCTCACAGAAATGATACCTGTCGGCAAGAAGGCCATACTGGGGTGAACTGTTCCGTTCACACAACACAGCCCAAGCCAAGCAACGAAGCCACCAATCACAGCAGGCCAAGGAGGGGGACGGGAGCAGAGAGCAGGTCATCAACGGCGACAAGGACATTCAATGATGCAGATTTATGGGCCCCACAGAATGGGTTTTGTTTTTGGTTTTTTTTTTTTGTTTTTTTTTTTTGCAATCAAAGCCAAATGCAGACAACGACAAGCATGAGGGAGGGAAAAAAAACACAAAACAAACGAAGAAATGAGGGATTGCAGGATAACAAAACAATGCAAGACAAGACAACACAAAGCAGAAAGCCAAGGCAAAGCACAGATTAGCATTAAATATCTCAAATGGGATCACAAGTAGCAAATAAAAAAGTTTCACTTACACAGACCTAAACCCTTCATTTTAGTAATTAATACTCATTGGTATAAATTAACCAAAAGGAAGGAAGGAGAATAAGTATACTGGGGAGAGAATAATTGCCATCCTGTTACCTAAACATCGTTTTCACACACTTCTCCCCACTTCTTAAAAAAAAAAAAAAAAAATCCATTATGGATACAGTACCAGCGAACAACTTATCCAAAAACAGTTGCGGGTTGGAAAAATTTTCTTTTTGATACCAAGGAAGCCACATTAAAAAACACACAACACTTTTCAATGAAAAGTCTGCACAAGCAGTTAAATACGGATTGTAACCATCAATTGACATAGTTATAAAGATAAAAGGAAGGCAGTGGTGTGTGTAGATTCCTTGGTAAAATGTTTACAAACACTGTAGACTGATGTTAAAAATACAAAAATGGTATGAATGTTATTGTAGCATGAGAAGGAAAATTTCATGCTGGTCGTCACTTGCTTTTTTGAACATAAGGTGCTTAAAACAACTTGAGACCCACTTTTTCCAGGTTTTACTCAATAAAACACTATGGATACTAATGACTACAAGCACTGAGAGAGGGCACCTAACTTTTTGTAAATAAAACAAAAAGTTTAAGGGACTCTTTCAAAGCTAGAACTGCATCTGTAACACACAAGTTCAGAAAAAACACCACCATGGGCTTGGTTTTATTACAGAAGAGAGCTGTAAATGCTAGTCTTGCTCTTGACTGTCTCAGAGCCCACAGTGAGCACTCTAATTTTGAAAACAGGAGACGAATCATGGTTAGGATAACAGTGAGTGAATTTCTGTAATTACTGCCAAAAAAGAAACATTATAGAGAAAGGATGAATAGTGGTATTAAAATATTTCTTTTAATCAATTTCTTTTCACTGTGCACGATCTGTGCACTGGGACACTAGAATTTTTACAAACCAGGGACCAATTGACACAGGCTCCTTTCTGCTATAAACCTGTGTGTTTCTACAAAGGCAAACTGCAGCACCAGAGCTCGTACTGTACAGCTGCTTTCAAGCAAATTACACATGAACCATGACCTTATGTGAGTTGGTCCATGTGCATGCACTCCCTAGACATGCACACACGGACCATGGGCCACACATGGTCAAGCTTACCTGTTCTGGTAACTGTAATATGTGGCATCACGAGGGATTGTGCACAACTGTTTGCCATAGCAACAGAGTGTCTGTGGAGAGAATTCCAGCTGCAAAAGAAACCATTCATTAAATAGTACACAGGCCTGAAGGACAAGCTAGAATATTTACATGGGCAAATAGAAAACCAAGTCAGAGAAGTCTTAATTCTCATTTGTGTTAATCACAATGTGCTTTCTGTTTCCAAGACAGTTCACAGAACTAAAACCATTCTAGTTTACTAACGTATTATTTCTCCACTGATAGACTTAGTGGTCATATCCTCTCATGACTTACCGAAGAACTCGACAGGATAAGAGGAGCTTAATGTGAATTGGTATGCACAGGCAAACCAGGACATAGCAGGTAGTATGCACCCACAGGGGGTTATGATCAAATCACTACTCCAGATGAATTTATAATCTAATGATTTAGGATTATTAATTAGTCAAGTTTTCAACACAATTTTTATCTGTGCAAAAATTCTTACCTTTCTACCACAACAATATCCAAGGCTTTGCATGACTGGGTCAATTTCCTGTTCAAAGACCTCAGACAGCTTGGAGCAGTACTTGTACACCCGCGATGTTTTCCGATTATATAGCCAGGCATTGTTGAACATCAGCCAAATGTCATCCACATACTGCCAGGGCTCCTGATACTGTCCAGTGTCTAACTTCCTCTTGATGGTGGAAAGATCCATGGGGCTCTTCACAATATCAAAATAATCCTAGGACAAGGAACACCAAGCAACATTACCCAAAATCTCAGTGTACATTTAGAATAGATGGCTTATCTTCCTATTATCATTCATTTTCCAGGTAATATTGTCTTTGACCTGTCTATATTTCAGAAGAGTTACTGACCCAACACACTTTAAATCATTAGTCTACAGAGATGTGAAACAGGCCAAAAGAAAGAGCGGAGTACAGAGCTACCCCAGACTTTCCCCACGCCAGGCTTGTGGTCTGCAGGAGCAACTGTAGGCGCTTTACCACTCAGTATATGTGCAATCAGCTTAAAGACCCCTAACATTTCAGTACTAGAAGGAAACTAAGCCCACATCATCAGTGCTCCATCTCAGGCTACAGAAAAATATAGGGGATGGGGATGGGGATGGGGGAAAAAGTTCCTAATGAATTCCCACCCCTCGAAGCACTCCATTGTCTTATTCAATACTACTTAAAATCCTCAGATGGAACCTGCTAGCAGCCTGGTGTAAAGGCAACTTTAAAAGCAGAGGAAGCTGCCTGGCCGATATGGCTTAGAAGTTGAGCATCACTCATGAGCCAGGAGTCACAGTTCACTTCCCAGGGGGGACATGCAGGAGGCAATCTCATCGTTGATGTTTCTATTCTCTCCCTCTCCCTGAAATCAAATAAAAACCAATAAAAACCCCATAAAATACTCTGGAGAACTTAAGACAGCAGCTGATTCAAATAGGCTTTAAGGTCTTCCAGTTAAAAAAAAAAAAAAAATCTGATGAAGCTAATTTGGGTTTATCTTTTCCATAAAACAACAACAACAAAAACAAAAACCTGTTACTCCAGTGATAAAAATAACCTACAAGACTCAGGAAGCCCACTAAGTATATATCCAAGTGAAATAAAAACAACAACTGCACAAAACATGTTTGCGAATATTCCCAGCAGCACCAGTGTCAACAGTAAAAAATGTGTAAACAATCCAAATATCTAACAAAAAATAAAGTGGTGAAGAAAATAGGATATGGCCACATGAAGGAATATTGCTGGGCCATAAAAAGAACTGAAATACTGACTTGTGCTACAAAAGGAGGAAGCCTGAAAACATTACACTAAGTGAAATAAGCCTGTTACAAAGTACCACAGTCTGTACCTTCATTTAGTGAAATGCCCACAATGGACAACTCAAGAAAGCAGACCTATGGTTGGCTGGGGGTACTGGTTGTGGGATTGGGAGGCAGATGGGGAATGGATATGGCGTTTCTTTTCTTTGGTGGGCTGATAAAAATGACCCAAAACTGTGGTGATGGTTACATAATTCTGTGAATGCAAAAACCATTGGATTGTATACATGAATGACTTTACATGAATGACTCACACCATATGTGAATTATATCTGAATAAAGCTGTTAACAAGTTAAAGAAACCAGAAGTACCACCACATACTTACAGGGATTCCTAGAAGCTGAGGGTCCACAGGTTGACGAAAGGGGAGGGATTCTGGATCCTGTCGGTAAAGTGCCTCCAATGTTGGCATCAGTGCCTGGCGTAATTCTTCTGGTTTGAAAACTTAAGAGCACATTTAAAATTAGTTATCAATTGACATAAAAGGAGAAAAAGTTCAAGTCAAAGCTATGAATATACCTCAAGAATCACAAAATACAAAAACGCCAATGTTGTCGCCATGGAAATATCACTAAGGGTGGGGAGCACCTTCAGAACACCCCGTCTTGTAATCCTTAAACACCTTTTATGGCTCAGCTAATTTTTCAGTCAGAAATTTAGTTAAGATTTTTTTGTTACTCCCTCATCCAAATACCCATTTATTGATTTTTAGAGAAAGGAAGGGAGAGAGAGACAGAAGCATCAATGTGAGAAACAGGTTGGTTGCCTCTAGTATGTGTCCCATCCGGGAAGGAACCTACAACCTAGGTACAGGCCCCCACCTGAGATTGGAACCCGTGACGTTTCAGTGTATGTGATGAGCCAGGGTAGTTAAGATGGTCTTGACCAAGTAGAAAAAGAATCCCAAGCCTTCCAAAAATTTATGAAGAGACTTGTCAAAATAATATAGAAAGAGGAGGCTATCAAGTAAGAATAGAAAGAACCCAGTCACAACATCAGGATTTAACAACTAGAAACGGGATCTGGCATTGTCTTATCGCTGAAGGGATCAGAAGCACTCAAAGAGTCCCTTATGTTTCAGAGCTCAGGAGGAAGACATAGTTACAATTTTAATGGCAAATGTTAGGTTTAAGTCTCAGGAAACAGACTGAATTGTTATTGCCAGAACACTGGACTCAATTTACCAAATGACGTTCAAGTGTGTTTTGCAAAAGTCAGAAACCGAGTTGCGCTTGAGTCCTGAAGGGAATCAGTTTAAGCTGTCATTCAAGAAGCTAAGCCATAAAAGGTCTAATTTTGAGCTTTAAAATTACACTTAGAGCACAGGCCTTATTTCTACCATTTACAAATAAATTTTATCTTTAAGAGGGTATATATGTTAGCACTTCAGGTATTTTTCACCTCATTATGGAGGCTGCCATAAAAATAAAATCAGACAAACAGATGGCTTCAATAAACAGATTTTGAGCAAACTTCTGTGATTAGTTGTTTTAAAGAGAATCTGGATTGTAACACTGGGTTTGTGGCAGCCCACATTAAAACAACTCCGCAATATATACAACCTGATTTTTAAGTGAAAATAATTTTTAGCCCCAACATTTTAAAATACCTTAATGAACACTTTTATGAACATCCTCTGCAGGAGTCAGGAGGCTCTGCCTGAGCTAAGCCCTGCCTGTGCCACTGAGGCGGTCCCCGGAGGTACCGGAGGTGGTAGCCCTGCACTATGAATTCTGTGGGAAATGTGAGTTGAACACTGTGTTAAGCAGCACTGCTGGGTCAACTTGATTCATCAATATTCAGCAGGGTGGTTCAACGCAGAGACTCAGAGCTGGCCTGGGTTCCCTTAGCTGAGTAAGCTGGGGCAAGTCACTTGTGGAGCTTCAGTTTTCCTGCCTGTATGGGATCAGCAGCATCAGAGTTTTTATAAACTTATCGAATGAGACAATGCAGTGTGTGGCATAATGCCTGGTGCACAGTAGGTTAACAATGTTATTATTGCTAGTATATTTTTGCATTTCAAGATTTATTTCTCTCCTCTGAAAAGTCCAATTTTGACGGGTGTTAACTACCCCAAAATGAAGAAATGATGGGTATAATGACCCAGTAATTCCAGGAAGGAAATATACCTTTAAATAAATAAATAAATAAATTCCTTCCCAACATTAGTTAATGAAAAGACCAGGCCAAGGGCTCCAAGCGTGATGAAAGCACGTTACAGTCCCTTCCCAGGTCCAAGAAGCCTGGCCCCTCTCTCCTCCGGTTGTCCCTCCCGCCGCGGGAAGCAGGGCCTGAACTTACTCTTCTTCTTTGACTGTCCTGGAGCCGGAGACGACTGAGTGACTGAAGTGCTCGGCTGGTCTTCCTCCTCTTTCGTCTCAGTTTTTATCTCAGTGCCTCTCTCTTCTGTTTCGGTAGGCTCCACTTTACAGTCTTCTGCTTTCGTCTAAAGGGCCAGGTAGGTGTTTTAGTATTCCAAAGACACGCAACCGGAAGCAGCCAAGATCACTGACTGACGCCACCTCCCTCAGCCCTCCCGCCCCCAGTACCAGTATCTGAGGACCCTTTTTTCTCAAGTGGAAATCAATGAAATGACATCTAATTATCAGAATACGTTCCTGTAATGTGTTTAATTGGGTTTCTAGACTGAGTTCCTTACCAAATCATAATAATTGCCCTACTCTCACCTCTGGATTATCCTCTGGCTGAGTATCTGCTGGTTCTGGCTGATCCACTTCCATTTTAGCCTCCATTTTCACTTCCTGTGAAGGCTGCTTCTCAGGAATGGCCTGAGAATTCACTTCTGTGCTACTAGTAGATGGTGGGTTTGACACCTGCCCCTCAATGCTTACAGCTGGCTGGGAAAGCTGGGCAGAGAGGGGGGGACAACACAAAAAATTTGCCAATTATACAACCAGAATTTAAGCTACACAATAGGATGGCATGGTTAACCCATTTCTAGGCTGGTATCATTACATCCTTTTATAGAGCTTTAACTTACTGCCTATTTCATCCCCTTGTAATAAATCATGCTTTATTTTATTTTAAATCCTCACTGGAGGGTATGCTTAGAGAGAGGAAGGGAGAAAGAGAAACATCAATGTGAGAGAGAAACATGGATTGGGTGCCTTCCGCATGTTCCCTAACTGGAGATCATAACCATAACCCAAGAATGTGTCCTGACCGAGAGTTACACCAGCAACACTTTGCTACGTGGGATGGCGAGCCCTCTGGCCAGTGTACATTATGCTTTGGAACAGGAGATTGAGGACTTAGTCATCAACTGGCTTTTTGGTGATCCCCGTTCTGTGGTAGTGTGTGAAGGTTTCAGAAATGACTGCCAGGAGGAGCTCACATTTATAGAGAAAAGAAAAGAAAAAAAAGGTTGACTGCCTATCTTGTTTTTATCACTTCTCATTAGGACATTTCAAATGTGCAGAAAAGGAGAATAGAAAGAACCCTCATACTTCATGCCTGTTTGGAATAATCAAATTCCAAAGGATAAATGTCCATTCTCCTAAGTCTTCCAATAAGAAGCCTCAAAATGAGAGGTTAGCATTTTCAGGAACTACCCTGTGCAGAATGAAATCAAGTTTCCTTTTGCACTTTGCCCCCTTCTTGCCCATCAAAGGCCAGGTGAACCAGTCACTAGTGAACAGTGTTTGATAAAGTAGCTTTTAACTCAATATTGACAGAGAACGAGAACAGTATTGGTGATTAAGTAGAAGGCTCTAAGCCTTCACCCACCGAGTTGTGTCAGTAAGGCTGCAGCTGTCGGCTGTGAATTTAGATGTCTACTGGACATAAAACGAGCCTCTCCTAAGGAGCTACAAGCTTTCCAAGCCCATACTTTCCTCATCTTAGATCGTAATGTTCTAACTGCGGCTAGGACCACAAACACTCACAAATTCATGACTCTGTTTGGTTCATTTGCTCTCATATAATACAGCTCAGACTATTGAAAAAGATTCTTTAAAACTCATGTGGGAATACAAAATGTACTGGAGTCTCTCCCCTGGGTCCCCCTTAGGTGCCTTAAAGCCTCAGAAGACAACATGAAACAGCATGGGCAATGTCAGACCTAAACAAAGTCTCGGAGGCTAGGTACTACAATGGGAAAAATAAATTTTAAAAGGGTAGGGAAAATAAGAAAGAAAAGAAAGGTGAACCCTCGAGGGGTCCCAGTCTAGCTGGGCAGACAACAGAGATGAAACAGTAGACACCAGAGCTACACAGCACAGAAGCACTTTTAACACCTCACTCAGCACAGCTGACCGATCTCCCCGATCTCCCCGATCCCCCGGAACCCAAGGCTGCTTACGGGCGTGGCGGGCTGTGGAGGCGGCGGCGCCGTGGGGGTGGGAACAGCCGCTGCCGCACTCTGCTGGGGGAGGGGCTGCGGCGGCTGGTCGGCTGGGGCAGCGGCAGGAAGTGAAGGCTGTACTTGGGGAGGAAGCTGCGCTGGCGGAGGTGTGGGGGTCTGCCTTGGAGGTGGGTGCAGAGCCTGGGACTGTGGGCCCGGTGGCACTGCTGGAGGTGTAGGCACAGGGGCTGGAACTGCTGTTGCTGGTGGCTGCTGAGCCCCTATGCTTGGGGGAGTGTGGTGAGGGGTGGGCGTACGACTAGGTCCAGGGGAGGGTGAATTCTGATGCAGAGCTGGTTGAGGGAGAGGGGGACAGTGAATGTGGCTCCCTTGAGACCCTGGAGGCATGATAGGAGAGTTCACAGGGCAGGAAGAACTGGACATTTGTGCCTGTTAAAATGAGAAACAGAGTAAGATGGAAATTAAGAAGAGAATTAAAGCAATATTTACATAGGCAGGCTATATGCCTTTAAGGACACAAACAAAAAATGGCCATGAATGCCTCCATTTAAAAATGTGATAAAAATTGTTATTGGGAGCATACATCTTTGGATAATATAGTACAATTAAGTAAACTTCAAAAACTTCAGCTGAATGGCCCGGTCTGTACAGGGCCTGGGACAGGTGAGCACACACACAGTGGATTTGGCACTCCTACCCTCTCTTCAGCCCGAGTCCTTCCTTTTGCACAGCAGTTGTAACGAAGATGGCATTTTAATGTGCTCACTACTTTAAAAAATGGTTAATACTATCAATTTAATTTCTTTCCTGGTTTATAACAATTAACATGGCTATGCCACAGAGTAATCACGTCATTGTTCAGAATACCACATGTCTATACTGTTTATTTTCAACCCTCGCCGAGGACATTTGTCCATCGATCTTTTTAGAGAATGGAAGAGCGAGGGAAAGACGAAATATTGATGTGAGAGAAACATCACATGGATTGGTTGCCTCCCGCAAGCGTCCTGGCCAGGGCCCAGACTGGGGAGGAACCTGCAGCTGAGGCCCATGCCCTTGACCAGAATTGAGCCCCATGCCCTTTGGTCCGCAAGCTAATGCTCTATCCACTGAAGTCAAACCTGCTAGGGCTGAACTGTTCTTAATAAAAACTTTAAAAAAATCATCTACTCTTATCCACTATTGCTGCCACCCTTCCCTGTACAAAACCTACACCAGAGGTTCAGGTTCAAAAATCACAAAACCAAGTAAGAAAATCCATTTGTGAGACATACTTGAGACACTGGTGCTTGACCGCCAGACGGAGCCAAAGGCATGTTCGATACATTCATTCCCTGTGTTGAGAACGGCGTCTGGGGAAGGTACTGGCTCTGGCTGGAAGGCTGCTGCATTCGAGGCCCGTAGCCCATAGGCTGCACACAAAAACACAGCACCAAGTGCTTCGTTACAGTTACTCTGCCAGAGCAGCTGGAGTCACCAACTGGCCTGGCCCTGCTGTGGGGGTGGGGTAGGGCAGGAAAGGAAGAAAGTGCTGCAACAGCTGTATTCATGCCAAGATAACGGAGGGAAGCCTCACAGTTTACCTAAGCCTACTTTAGAGAAATCACAAGAGGTGACAAATTCTCTGCTACACAAATGCACCTAACGCTGACAGAGTAAAGGTAATTGTTTCTTCACAAACTCTGCTTAAGGAAGAAGGATGAATCAAAATTTCAGGAGACCGTTACTCTGCTTATGTCAGTGCTATTGTAACAGAGTAAATTGTAAGACTCTGTAATGGGAACAAAGAAATAATTACAAGTTGTACTAAACAAGGTGTAGCAAATATGGTCCTCAATGAACTATTACATTTCATTAAAAAAATTATCCCAAACAAATACAGGCCTTTAATGAAGAATTATGGAGTGCCAAAGGCCCCCAAACACCATAATCTAAGAAAGGTATGGACATATTAAAATGAAGACTAATAAGCCTCCTCATTAAATATGGAAGACATTATGCTACACAATGCCAAAAAGACTCAAGAATTAGAAGCATTAGCTAATGCAAAGACAAGTAAGGGTGGGGCCAACCAAAGGTTGGCGATAGATTTAGAGTTTGCAACAGGAGCAATGAAATGCTAAGAGTCCTTCTCCAGTCTCTACGAACAGGCAACTGCCCCTCCATTGCAAAAGACAGTCACCTTCCTGGGTAGACAGACATTCTAGAAGAGAGGCGAGTATGTCAAAGTGTATAGGCTACAAATGCTGCGATTCTAGTGAACGGTGACTGACTGGCCATTCTTATAAACTTTTCAATGCTCTGGCTATAAACAGTAGTTGGAAGCAAGTCTTTCTTATAGTATTTTATATACCCTGCTTCCCCGAAAATAAGACAGTGTCTTGTGTTAATTTTTTCTCCCAAAGTTGCGCTAGGTCTTATTTTCGGAGGATGTCTTATTTTCAGGGAAACACGGTAGATTACAATCAAGACAGTTCTTAAAATATATATTGAATTCCAGGATATATATATTTTAGAAACCTGGTTTTTCCATTTAAAGCTTTCAAGCCATTATAGAAGTTCTGACACAGAGCATTCCCATTACAGATGTACCATAATTTGACCTAACAAATCCCCTAGTGCACTTTCAGAATACAGTTTTATTTCAAAAGAGAATATATAATGTATCATCTTTCACACAAATTTTCTTCAAAGTATATCCTTTTAGTATCTCAGTGATTATTTCTGTAGGATAAATTCTGAAAAAAGCAATTTATAGATAAAGAGAAAGGTGAAAATTAATTTTAGAGTCCAATGCCTATTTATTCTCATTTCTGAAATACATACTCATTTAATAATGTCTATTTTAGGGCCCTAGAATACAAAAAAATTACATAAGAATCACTTATAGTCAGCTGTTTAAGCTAGTGCCAGAATTTTTATATACAAAGAAAATAAAGGATTTAAAAATTGTCAGGTATAGGTCAAAAGAGATGACCCGAACAGGCCAAACTTACTGGGTTGAGAGCTCCAGGCTGAGCCAACTGTCCATGGTGCTGAAGAGGAGAGGTTTGCCGGGGCCCCATAGGGGGCTGGGGCATATTCATCTGGCCAAATTGATTCAGACCTGTAAGTGTAAAATACTAGATTTGAACACTTTTATGGGATCAAAGAATAAAAGACAGTTCTTATTTCTGATTCTACATGCTTTTATAAGGACAAACAAATGAACCTGTTTTCAACTATGAATGAATCTGTATAATTCACAGTAGCAATAGAAGGGCACTGTTATAGATTCCATCTTGGCCCGTTGTTTTTAAATGGATGCCTGATCACGTTAATGTCTTTGCCTCTCAATATGCCAGCCAACCTGGTCTTCACTCTCCTCTTCCTCTCTGGGCTCCAAACTTCAAAAGGATTTCAGATTTCCAAGCAAACAATTATGATACCTACTGCTGGCCTGGGGCCAGAATCAAGGTGCAAGTATAATCTCGTAGTACACCAGGGACTGTTAGAGGTCACAATTAAATACATGGTTTTCTCCCATAACTCACCAGGCTGAGGAGTTATCCGAGGCATCATCTGGTTTGGCACACTGCCACGGATCATAGATGGATCAGGTAAAGGGCCGTCTAGAGTGGATAAAGACATGGTTAGAAAAGCATCTTTCAGCGAAGTTTCTTTCTCTTTAAAAGAAAAAACCCCCACATAATATTTTTAGTCACATATTGAAGAATTCAGTCTGAATCACACAATAACAAAAATTATGACTCAAACAGGAACTGGAAGAAAACGTTAGTTCTGAAATATTTTTTTTAAATGCTTCCAAAAGGTTTTAGTACATTCCTTTATGAACTTCGGTGCTTTCAGCATGAACAGGAAAATATTAAAAGAAAAAATACTATTTCAGCATTTAATATGCTATTTAACTAAGGCAGATTCTTTGGTTTGTATGCAGAATAGCTCCAGAGACAAGGGCCACAGATTTTGTCCAGTAACAAAATTTGATTGTGTATCTCAATAATGTTATTTTAAGTGCTGTGAATATTGGCTTTAAATAAAATACTTATTATATAGCATTACATATTATGCATCTCTTAAAATACAAAAAAATAGATATAATTAAAATAGCCTATATAATAAAAGGCTAATATGTAAACCAACTGGTCGCTATGATGCACAATGACCACCAGGGGGCAGACACTCAATGCAGGAGTTGCTCACAGGTGGTCAGTGTGTGGCTGGTGAGTGGGCAGTGGTGGGAACCTCTCCTGCCCCTGTGGCAGTGCTAAGGATATCCGACCAATGGCTGAGGACATCCCCTGAGGGCTCCCAGATTGCAAGAGGGCACAGGGACCCATGCCCAAGTGCATGAATTTCATGCACCAGACCTCTAGTGAATATATAAGGTTCTAATATTTTCTTGGATTATGTGCATATCCTCTACTGCACATTCCCAACCCATTTCACACCATAATACACAGAGAAAATAATATTTCTATAGCACTGGGGGAAAGGCAGAATGCTTGGGAGTGAACTAGCTCTATCCCATACACCCCCGACCCAGTGCTGTGTGCTCAAACATTAGGAACACTTGTGGCACACTGTGCTCTAAAGACAAACCCACCACATCAGACAACTCTCAAATTTTACTGTCACTTTTGTTCATTTACTAAAATGATCCCACAACTACGTATCTTGTTGCAATTTGTTACTAAATTCATAAGGATTTAATAGTCAAATTGAAAACTAAGGAATGCTGAACACTTAGTCATATGATTTAACTGCAACTATGACTGTATAAGACTTACAAAATTAATGTGTAACCTGTGTTCACTATATAAAAAATTTAGATAACAGCAAAAAGAGATAAACCTCCATTTAGTTTTAATCTTCCATATTATGTATTCACATACACTTTATACAAAAAAAAGTTTTCACTTAATATAAGAGGGACTTTTTCTCCTGTCAATAATATGCACAGGTACTCCAAGCTAAAGGCTGGGACACTTTCAGGATATTTCTGATGTTTCCTCATGACTTCTGTGCAATTATACTGTTATTGCTTGGAATTAAATTCCTAGAAATGGAGCAATTAGATTTCAGAGAATGAACTATTTAAATTCTTACCAGCAGTACATATTTTAAGTTATGTCATCACTATGGCCAGTTTTAACCTTTAGAGATCCAAAAAGATATGTACTGACTTTACTTATTCTTTAATTTCCTTTTCCTACTTTTCTTTGTAAATGTTTCTTCAATTAATATCTTCACTACTGAAAATATGTTCCTTGAGCCCTAACCAGTTTGGCCCAGTGGATAAAGCATCGGCCTTGCGGACCAAAGGGTCCCCGGGTTTGATTCCAGTCAAGGGCAAGCACCTTGGGTGCAGGCTCCTCTCTGGCCCAGGCCCTGGTCAGGGCTCGTGCAGGAGGCGACCAATTGATGTGTTTTCTCTCACATCATTTCTCTGCCTTTCCCTCTCTTCCACTTTCTCTAAAAATCAATGGAAAAATATCTTAGGGTGAAAATTTTAAAAAAATAATTTTTTCCTTGGCTTGTCCATTAGTTTTTGTTTAAAGTTTAAAACTTTTAATTATTCACTATTAATTTCTGTGTATTGGGTATAGTAGGAATCTTTTTCTTAATCTTCTAAAAAATGTCAGATGTAGTATAAGCAAAAAGTCAACATATATTTCGGACTACTTGGTTCTACCAACACGTGATCCTGCATTGTACCATACTGTCCTTAACACAGCATTACAATTTAATATATGATAGACTTTAAACTTGGCTCAAATTTCTAAAGAACTCAAGTAAATTCACCACACCCAAGTATCTCAGGTTTGGCCAATTGTCTCTGTAACTTAGTTATGCCCCTAGTTCAAACCATTAGCAATAAAGCAGTCTCAACTCTAGACTTGACTTTGTTTCTGAACATCTGTTCTCATACCTACTCAAAATATACCTGCACTCTCATTTGCCAGCGGGCCTTGTGTACACTATTTCTTCAGCCAGAAATGTCTCCTCAATTCTTTTCATAACATAAGCCAATGAGAAAACGTATCTAGCACATGGCAGTTACTTAATAAATGAGGTCGCTACAGGCCAGTGGCAACCAACTGTTCTCCACTTTCCCATGGTGAGGCCTGAGGAGGATGGATTTCTAAATCCATATATAAATTACCAAAGGCATAGAGAGCTGGTACCTGCTGGCTCAGCTGGTGCTACCTACAGGTAGTCAGCTTGCCCTGACTCAAGAAACATAGCATTTCCCCTATCATAGCCTTTCTTCACGTGATTTAAATAACCTACCTTCTTTCTCACCATTGTGTCCTTAACTCTACTGCTTGGAACCTACCAACAAGTCAGTGAATGAATAAGAAAGTAAATAATCCTGGCTGTCTGATTAAATCATCTGGCTGAGAAGGCTGTTATTATCAGAACACAAAGTGTCAAGATGAATTTTAAACGATCCTTCTAAAAAATAGTTCTTAGACTTTAAACATATTGTGTCAATATAAATAACATATGTGTGTTTAGGATGTATAAAAACTGATGGGGCCTTTGAACCTGCTCAGTCTACATTTATTGGTTGCCTACTATGTGCAAGTTAGTGCATACCCGTGAGCTAGCATTTCCTAAGTGTCACTGTGAGAGAAGGGTATTTGGGGCTCTCAAATGATGCCAGATTATCAGGACATGTTAAGTACCATGCCCAGAAATCTTAAATGTGCTGCTCAGCTACTGTTTTTACCAGAGGATAAATTTTCTTTGCATAGGCAAAAAATGAAAACTAGAATAGCTGCATAAACTTATGCAAATTAATGACTTTGGTGAGAAATCATTACCAAATTTTCTCCAAATCAAATATAACAAAAAGCACTTACTAGAAGTCATTCCTGGTTGTGGCTGCCCCATGTTAGGCCCTGGGTTCATGGACACTGGCACCATGCCTGCAGCATTTGGTAGCATGCTTTGTTTCTGTAGTCTAGTCCTTCGTTTTTCTTCTAGTTCTTTCTGGATTTTATAGATCTTCTCAGCTAGCAGGTGGTAGTATTCCGCCTTTATAAATTTTGGAAATAAAATGGAGATGAGGAAAAAGCACTACCATTTAGTAACAGAAAAAATGAACTAAGAAGAAAATTTAGCTGCACTTAAGTAGGCAGAAACCAAAAGTGGAAAGAACCTAATCTACTTTCTTGGATCATTCCAAACAAGATCTCATTTGGAATGATCATGTGAAAAGCAGCTTCACTATGAATCTATAAAGTAAGATAGACCTCTCAAAGTTGGTTTACAAAGTATGTACTGGCAATTTACAGCACATGCAAAGACTATGCTACGTATTTTAAGAAGTGCCAATTTAGAGAAGAAAGTTCAACTGATTCAGAAACTGCAATACTACTTGACTAAGCAGCTGATTCACCATATTCTAGTGAAAATAGCACAGAGCTGGAAACAGCTCAACCACTTCTAAGTGACAGAAGGACAACCCAGATAAAGGGCCACATGAGTGGACTGTATTACTAAGAGGAAAAAAATGTAAAAGTCTTGATGATGTACACTTTAAGAAAATTACTTTGTTATCTTGAATATGCACAATGGGAATAAGAGGACAGCTAAAGGTATCTTCTGAAGTACACATTACAAAGAGGAATAAAAACAGGGCCATTTCTGACTTTCTATAGAAAAAGAACAGGTGCTCACGCGATTATTTGCAGATTCATACATGTCCCCTTCCACTTTCCGGGCATATGCAACTAGGTTTTCCATCCGTCTGTCTTTTAAAGCAGCAGGATCCGGAGTAGGAAATATGGCTTGAACACTAAGAACAGAGAATCCTAACACTGTTATATCACAAAAGCTTTTCACACTCATCATAGAAATATACTGCACTTTAAATTTCCCCCTCATTTTTGTACAATGTTCACATTAAATGAAATTTAAGTGAGGGGTGAACCTGGTGAGTGTGGCACATTAGGTGAACGCTGACTTATGCACCAGAAGATCATGGTTCGATTCCCCGTCATTTGGGCTTGATCTCGTGTGGCGTATGTAGGAGGCAACTAATCAATGATTCTCTCTCATCACTGATGTTTCTCTCTCTCTCTCCCTTCCTCTCTAAAATCAACATTTAAAAATAAAATAAAGGGAAAAGGTGGAATGTACTTTAATATAAAATATTGACCAAGATAAACTTGTCCTTTTGTGGTAAACGAAAGGTTTTCCTGATCAGAATAAAGAAATGACTAATAAAATGACTCATAAAAATACTCTCTGGCCCCTCTCTCTGACTGTAATTTGGAACAAACAATTATATTGTACAATTTGCATAAAGGAAGTGAGGAAACCTGACCTTTGGTACATTATCAATTAGCAACAGCCTTCAGATCCTTCTACTCTCCTAAATTTATTCCATTTAGTAAAATAAAACCTAATCATCATTATGAAATCTTAAAATATAAAACACTTGGACAGGGCAGAAATGCATCATAATTCTGCTAGAAGTCTTTTGCTCTCTGGCCATTTCCTACAAAATGCTTGGCACTAGTATTCCTAAAAACTGACCAATGTGATTTCAAGCCACTAATTTTATCATTTGGCTATCTCATGCTCAGTTTAATAGTTCTTGAAGATCCAGAAGAGGAAGAAATAAGTGGAAGAATACTTGAGTTGGTAAAAAAAAATAACATCAAGTCTGATGATCAACCCTAAATAATTCTCTCTGTTCATTAAATAAAAATGTGGATAGAATGAACGAAATCCCTCTAGTAAGTGGAGAAAGGCAACCAAAGACTGTTTTCTCCAAAAATAAAAGTGCTGGTTCTATAGGGAGAGGTCTGGGCTCTATCTGTTTGATCCTGGGTGCGTTACATTTCCCCACTCTATCTGCCTTTCCCCTCTTTATTCTGACAAGCACTCTTTATTTTATTAATTAATTAATTAATTATTTTAAAAAAATATATTTTATTGATTTTACACAGAGAGGGATTGAGAGGGACAGAGAGTCAGAAACGTCGATGAGAGAGTGTCATCGATCAGCTGCCTCTTGCACACCCCCTACTGGGGATGTGCCAGCAACCAAGGTACATGCCCTTGACCGGAAGCGAACCCGGGACCTCTCAATCTACAGGCCGACACTCTATCCACTGAGCCAAACCGGTCTTGGCCTGACAAGCATTCTTTAAATAAGACAGTGTTTGTGAGGCAGAATGCCTGAAATATATAAACTTTCCAACAAACAGAGCGAACTAGTCCACAAGTTATTGATATATATATACTATTGGAGGATCAGAAAAATATTCTACCAGATTTAACTTGTAATAAACATAATAAAAGCTCAGGGACAACAAAAATTGTTGCCACATTCTAATGAGCTGAGACCTAGGCTTTCTTTTGAAATTTTGAATTTTGTAAAAACAGTAACAATAACATGAATAATTTTTAACTAATATATTTATCACTGTCACTAGGCAGAATAGTTAAAGCTGAGATACTCCTAACAAAGACGATGAAAAACTTGAGAAGCAGAAACTAAGAAGCAAGAAAGCCACAGGAGCAGAAGTGTATTAGCAACAGCAGCCAGGCTAGCGAGAAATCAGGAATATTCTCTGTGGTTAAGTGCCTGGCATGGCACTGACATGTAGCTCTTTATGACTATGACATGCAGGCATCTTACAGCTTGTGAACAAGATGATTTCGAAGATCCTGAGTGATATCTTCATGCCACTGTTTCCGAATTCCAGTGCTGGATGGCTGAGCTGCGGTTGGCATAGGGCCCAGGGAGGCCACACTGGCATTCTCACTCATCATAGGGCTTCACAAAGGAGAAATAGTTTAAGTGAAGATGACAGGAGCAAGTGACGGCTGCAATGGGTCTAACACACTGTGGCAGTTCTATTTATTACATAAAGAAGTTGGGGTGGGGAGACAGTATGAATGTGTGTGTACTTATGGGAGGGAAAGTATTAACCCACAACATTTCATTCTGTGAAGGGGAGGAAGACACCGAATTCTTGTAAACTAAGCTGGCATTTTGACACAGATTATCCCAGGGAATTCGTTGGGCAATGGACTAATTCTTAACAATGGGATAGAGCAAATTCCCTTTTTTAAAGTAGCTGCAGACTTGCAACTTCCTTAATCAAGTATATTGGAAGTTGTAAATTTCCCCAAATAATTAATACAATTTCAAATATGTTATAGAAAGCATAAAAGTATGGTCTCAAAACACCGTATTTTCCTTTATATATCAAGAATTATCTTCGAATCTAAGAAATTCTAGCATGTTTAGAACACAACACAGACCACATCCAAAAGAAAACTTACTTTTGAGAATTTATGGCTGAATGCAACATCGAGTCAGAAAGAAGATTTGATGTTTGAACGCCTACACCTCCATTTACTCCCATAGGACTAGCATCTAGGTTAAAAAAACACACAAAAACAAGTATATTTTAAATACTAGTAACAACAACAAAACACCACAAAAGAAGGAAAAGTTATAAAAGTGTTGAAGAAATTATCACAAGAAATTTTTATCCTGACCATGACCTCCTGGTTCAAAGGTCGACCACTGAGCCATACTGGCTGGGCACTAAAAAAATCTTTACACGATAAGTGGAATTCAATAGCAACTGGAAGATTGAGAATGTGATTGTGGAAGGTTTACAGGAAAATCTCTAATTTGGAGTCCCAGAGGGGATTCCTTCTTCACCTCTTTGCTACAGAATCTTGATAACCTGACATATAATAGAGATCCTATAGCTTTGTCTGTTTAATCACTTACCCGCCCATTCAGACTAGAAATGTCACGAAGTAAAGAACATGTCCCTTTGGTATGTTTTTCAGCACAAAGAATGAATGTTGCTTATTCAATTATCCAAATGCTCTCGCCAATCATAGGTACCTAAAACTTTTATTTATTTTTTAAAAAATATATATATTTTATTGATTTTTTACAGAGGAAGGGAGAGAGATAGTTAGAAACATCGATGAGAGAGTCATCGATTAGCTGCCTCTTGCACACCCCCCACTGGGGATGTGCCCTCAACCAAGGTACATGCCCCTGACCGGAATCGAACCCGGGACCCTTCAGTCCGCAGGCCGACGCTCTATCCACTGAGCCAAACCGGTTTTAGCGGTACCTAAAACTTTTAGCTCTGAGGATATTCCGTCCAGCATTACAGCCAGTTCTGCCACAGACACACATTTGTAATATCAAGTTGTGACGGTGAATAGTTTCCCCATCAGTATAAATGTTTACTTAGGTTTTTCATCCTCCCCAGTACTACACAACTCAGATAAAGATGCTATGACAAAGACCCATAAACATAAATACTTTCTCTAAAAATCCAACAACTTGAAAACATAAAATAGAGATCACATCTACTAAATAAATGAGATACAAACTTTCATTTATTTATTTTTAAAAATATATTTTATTGATTTCAGAGAGGAATAGAAAAGGAGAGAGAGAGAAACATCAATGATGAGAAAGAATCATTGATTGGCTGCCTCCTGCATGCCCCTACTGGGGATGGAGCCCACAATCTGGGCATATGCCCTTGCCCGGAATCGAACCCAGGACTCTTCACTGAGCCAAACCAGCTAGGGCGAGATACAAAACTTTTAGAAGAGGGTGCAAAACTCGGGAAGTTTTCAATGGTAATAGTTCCAGAATTTCCATAAAGCAGCTGAAAAATAGCTAACACCAAATGGAGTAATTAAAATATAAACTGTACATTACATGATATTAGTGAACAAAAGTTGGTCCAAATTAAAATTAATTTAGAAGAAAATGTAGTCAAAAAGGAGAAGTCACCAAAATACCACTTTGTTCCTTAAACCTGCAATGACTATTAAGAACCCAGAATACATATTATTTTAAAAATGTTTTGGAGAGAGAGGAAGTGAGAGAGAGACAGAGTTAACATCTATCGGCTGTCTCCTGCACACCCCACACTGGGGATCAAGCCCACAATCTGGGCATGTGCCCTGACCAGGAATTGAACCATAACCTTCTGGTTCATAGGTCGACGCTCAACCATTGAGCCACGCTGGTTGGACAATAAAATATATCACATATATATAAAAATAAAGTAAAACAACAACAAAAGACAAAGAAACAAACAAAATCCTGAAAATCCAAATAGCCATCTGTTAGAGATTATTTTATACAATGAAGCACTATACAACCACTAAAAAAGGACATAAAGAAATTGTCTTATAGAATAACACATGGAATTCTAGTCTAGAAATTAAAGTTACACATGCATAAAAGGATTTAGAAGGATATAAACCAGTAGAAACTGCCTCTGATATATGGATTACAAGGCACCTATAATCTTAAAAAAAAATTTACTTCAAAAATTAAACGTGACCAAAAAATTGAGGGGAGGAGTGAAAGGTACATACAGAGTAAATAATCTAAAGAGTTAATCCTTCATGTATTACAGAGCGTTTATAGACACAAACTTACTCATGTTGCTCATGGGCCGCATGCTCTGGGGAGACTGTCCCGACTGCTGGTTCTGCTGGTTCTTGGCCTGCACCTGGGGCTGGGTCGGCATTTGGTTTACCTGGTAGGGGAGCCCCAGGGCTGCATAGGCTCTTTCTATGGAGCTGGGGTCAATCTGGCTGACAGAGCTTAGGCCGGGTGCGGACTGCTGACCCACGCCTAGAGAGCTAGTATTTCCAAGTCCGACTGGTGCTCCAGTCAGAATTGCTATAGGAAGAAAAAGAATTACAATTTTAAACATGGTTTAAAAGAAAAAAGAAAAAAAAAAGAATTAACATGTTTAAATGAATTTTTAAAACCATAAAACTATTGTTTTGTGAAACATCTCAGTACAGGCATCGTTCCCCCCATTATTTCCCTGAAAAAAATGTCTAGATGCAGAACTGATTGGCCAAAGGGGATCATTGGCATGAAAAGGCTTTTGATCCAAAATACCCAAAATCCTTCCTGCAAGCTGTATTCATGTCCCAGCAACAGTGTAGGAAGCCTCAGACCAGACCAACACCAACACCAGGGAGCATACTTCCGCCGAAGGGGAGAGACAGTGCTTCATTTCTTACTGTACAGGGAACTCTCTGGTATTTCCTCCCACTGGTGAGCGCTGTTTCCTAGTCTAAATTTTCTACTGGGCTTCTTATGATTTCTTCATTAATTTATGAAGCTTAATTTCTTTCCACATGCTCTATATGCATCTCCGAATTTGTCTTTCAGTCCTAAACGCTTAATGTTTTGTTTCCAAAGTGGAGATGTGGTAGCTGCACTTCTATCTTTCTACTCTTGACTTGTTTTTTCTCTATGAAAAGCATATTATTGCTTCAGGTTTCTAAAAATATAATTTCCATTTTTTTTCACTCTTTTAAAATAACTTCAAATTATATAAATATTTAGAACACAGATATAGAGGAATGATTTGCCCAATGTTAAAGCATTAATCTTTTACGTTTTCATGAATTTGAAAATGGAGCATAAATTCACCCATCATTTTTGTTTCAATGTTTTTATCGATTTTTAGAGAGGAACAAACATCATCGATCATCTGACTCCTGCATGCCCTCTTTTGGGGATTGAGCCTCAACCCAGGCATGGGCCCTGATTGGTAATCGAAGGGGTGACCTCTTGGTTCCTGAGTCGATGCTCAACTACTGAGCCTCACCACACTGGCCAGGCCATCCATCATTTTTTAATAAAAAAATGACTAAGTTTCTGGATCTTATTTTAGGTAATAAACAATTCAAGTCTAACTTCATTAATATGAAGTTAATGAAAAGTAAAGACAACAGGAACTTCGCATAATCAAATACTATTCTAAATCCCACCAAACTGTATGAAGAGAGTCTAGGAATACTTTTGGTATAAAAGACTTAATTGCTTTCTATCTCTCCCCCCCCTCCCTTCTTCTCTAAAATAAAAAAAAATAAATAAAAAAAAATATATATCTATGATTTAATCACTTACACTGCTGATTTCTCTTATCCCCTGCATTTTTCAGGGGAAGACACACAGGACAGTCATGCCTCGTACAGTTCTTCCAGTGGGAGATGATTTGTCGAGAAGATGCACAGTGGGCCACTAAAAAAAAAAGAAAAATAACTTTTTTTAAAATGCAGGTTACATCTTTACATTAGTGTCAGCGAACTTACTGACTACTTAACAAGTGTCACAGATGTTATTAACTGATCTCATCTTTATAACAGTCCTAGGGGAAGCTATTAGTACTCATATTTCATAGTTGAGAAAGCAGGCAAAAAGTGAATAATGTGCACCAAGTCAGAGAGTACCCAGAATGGGATTCAATCTCAAGCAGTTGGCTCCAGAGCCCATTAAAAACAAAAACAAAAAACACACTTTTTGAAAAATTTATTTTTAGAGAGAAAGGAAAGGGGAGGAAGAAGTATTGGTGAGTGGCCTCCATTGTGCACTCCGACAGGGGAAGTAACCCATAATTGAGGTATTGTGCCCTGACCATGAATCGAACCCGCAACCTTTTGGTGTAGGGAGTAACTTGGCAAGGGCTAGGCCCCGTATTTTTCACCATCAAGCTGTGCAGTGTATTTTATTCTATAAAAGTACATTTCTTTCTTTCTTTCTTTTTTTTTTTAAAATATATTTTATTTATTATTTTAGAGAGAGGAAGGGAGAGGGATAGAGAGTTAGAAACATTGATGAGAGAGAATCATCGATCAGCTGCCTCTTGCACACCCCCTGCTGGGGATGCACCCACAACCAAGGTACATGCCCTTGACCGGAATCGAACCCGGGACCTTTCAGTCCGCAGGCTGACGCTCTATCCACTGAGCCAAACCAGTTTCGGCAAAAGTACATTTCTTATGATTCCACAAATACATAGTTGTATTATATCAGTTAGCAAACCCTCAATATTTTAGGTGTGCTATGCTGGGCTAATCAAAGTCAGTGAGTATCAACACAAAAAAGAAGTCCTTAAACTTTCTTCTCCTACACATTCCTAGCTACTCATAAATACTATATTTTAGAATATCCTACTACAGTGGTCGGCAAACTCATTAGTCCACAGAGCCAAATATCAACAGTACGATTGAAATTTCTTTTAAGAGCCAAATTTTTTATTTTTAAAAAATATATTTTATCGATTTTTTACAGAGAGGAAGAGAGAGGGATAGAGAGTTAGAAACATCAATGAGAGAGAATCATCCATCAGCTGCCTCTTGCATACCCTTACTGGGGATGTGCCCGCAGCCAAGGTACATGCCCTTGACCGGAATCGAATTCGGGACCTTTCAGTCCATAGGCTGACGCTCTATCCACTGAGTCAAACCGGTCTCGGTGAGAGCCAAATTTTTTAAACTTAAACTTCTTCTAACGCCACTTCTTCAAAATAGACTCGCCCAGGCCGTGGTATTTTGTGGAAGAGCCACACTCAAGAGCCAAAAAGCAGCATGTGGCTCTCGAGCTCAGTTTGCCGACCACTGTCCTACTACAGAGAGGAAGAGAGCAGTAAAGGAGCCTCAGAGCAGATGGCCATATTCTCTCCTTGTCTTTGATATAAACACTAATACCTTTGAGAACTCACCTTGGCAGGACTTGCCCGACTGGCAGTGCGTCATGTGGTTGAGGACGTTCTTCATGGTGCGGCAGTGGGGGAGGTTGCACTGCCTCACCTCCCCGTTCGCCTGCTCCCGGCGCTGGCACTTGTGCGCGTGCAGAAGGAGAACGAGCTGCTGCTGGATGAGCTTGCGCTTCTCTGGGTCAGCCGTGTGGGCTCCCGAGCCCATCCCTGGGGCTACTGGCGTCACCAGGCCTGGCTGCTGGACCTGAGGGGCCTGCTGCTGGCCCTATGGAGGACACCATAAAGATCCACTTAGTGCTCGGTGCGACAATGCACTCTCTCAGTAAACACAAACCTGGGCATTTTCAGTTAAAACCTTTAAGGACAGTCTACTGTAAGCCAGACTCCTTTTTTTGATACAGGAGATTCCAAAACAAATGGTCCTTCCATTGAGACGTTCAACTTAATAAGAAAACAAAATACTGTTTTACCAAATGATATAATCAAAGAATGGATAACGTAGAGAGGGAAAGAAAGAGAAGGGCACGGTCAACTCCAGGGGGACAGGGAAAAGCAAGGAACTGACAGTGAAGAGCATGTCCCACTGAGGTTCTGGAGGACAAAGGCGCTTCTTTGGAAGCAGACCTCTTGGGGGCTGAAAACTAGCTTTTACATACTCTGGAAGCAACTTGTGGGTTTTCTTTTTCTCCCCAGTAAAAAGGCAAACATTTCTGGGGACAGAAACACCACATTTAAGTCATCCCTTTATCTTTATTGCCTCACTTCCTAGAGTATCAAATACAGGCGCCACTCAATAAATATGACGCAAAGCAAAAAACCAAAAAAATCTGAGAAAAAGTATTCCCGTAGGACAATTTTTTTCCAAAAAGTCAATGTGGACAACTTGACACATTTATAACTCGAAATAGTTTTACTTCAGAAAAAGAGCAGCGTTAAAAGTGTTAGAAATGTTTCTCATAAAAAAAAAAAGTTTAAAACAATGCGTAACTTTAAGAGGGATGTTCCTTTAGTGTGGTAGTATTAAATTCGAATCAGCAGACACATTCACTAGGGGACAATCCTTCCAGGGAGGATGGCTCCGCTTCCTATCCTACAGACATGCTCACAAGCAGAAGTTTATAGCAGACCTCCAAAACTTTCACTTTAGCAAGCCTACTCCCTCCTGTTCACACGTGACCAAACACCATGTGAACCGGAAGGAGGGTACAAGTCTCCTCAATCACAGGGGTCATCGACTGTAGTGTGTACACTAGAAGGGACAGAAGTTTAACATAATTCTTTCGTTAAAATGCCAATTTGAAGATAAATTTGTAAATAGATTATTACTACCCACCATGTTGGGCATTCCTCCACCAGGAACTGCTTTTTTGTCCATTGCAAATGGAGATAAGCTATTTGGCAGTACAGGCTTTGTCTGAATTTGGAGACCGAGGCCACTGGTTCCAATCTGTTGTCCAGAACTCTGAGTATACGGTGAACCATAAGGATTAGGGTTGTTCATCATTCCCATCTAAGAACAAGAAACAGAAAAAAATTAAATCTTATTCCCCATCCTATGTAATAAAACCCCGACTGAAAGACCTATTGACCAGTTGCTATGACGTGCACTGACACCAGGGGCAGACACTCAATGCAGGAGCTGCCCCCTGGTAGTCAGTGTGCTACCGCAGTGGGAGCACTGCTCGGCTGACTGGGATGAGAGGCCCGCAGTGAGCCCTGGAGGCTGGTTGGCGGTGCCATGGGACCGAGGCCTACCCCACTGCCTCTCAGTGCTACTGTCCCTGGGTGCGGCCCCAACTGGGTCCCTTGGAGAGGTGAGTGCTCCGGCTCCTCGCAAGATGCTGGAGCAGGGAGCAGCCACTCAGAGGACGGGCCAGCAGCCGCTTGGCCGGCCGGAATGAGCAGTGCTCCCACAGCATCCCCACAGGCCATGCCCCACCAGCTTATGACCCCGTGCACTGAGCCTCTAGTATGAACAGAACGCTAACAGACCCTTTCATTTTCGCTTCCTGAATTACAAAGAAAACCCAGAGGACGCCCTCTGCATATATGAACACATTGTGGAAGTGTGCTCATGAAATAACAATTAAGATTTAGGGTTCTAGGGTACAGTAAATTTATAGGGTTATCTTCTGTAAATATCTGAGATAAATGAGCTTTAGAAAAACTCAAACATTTTTAGTTAGCTATATCTGCTAAGCAAGGTTTATCATTCATCTCCAAGTTTTGTGTTTTTTTAAAATATATTTTTATTTATTTCAGAGAGGAAGAGAGAGAGATAGAAACATCGATGAGAGAGAATCATTGACTGGCTGCCTCCTGCATGCCCCCCACTGGGGATCAAGCCTGCAACCTGGGCATATGCGCTGACCAGGAATCGAACTGGTGACCTCTTGCTTCCTGGGTCGACGCTCAACTGCTGTGCTACACTCGGCTGGGCATTCATCTCCACTTTTAATGCATTAAATGCACTCTTATTTAATGTACAAACTATAGGCTTAATGAATTAAACTCAGTAACTTGCCTAACCCCAAATATATTAAAGAGTTTAATATGTCAGGCCAAGACTGGTTTGGCTCAATGGATAGAGCGTTGGCTTGGGGACTGAAGGGTCCCAGGTTCGATTCCAGTCAAGGGCATGTGCCTTGGTTGCGGGCATATCCCCAGTAGGGGGTGTGCAAGAGGCAGCTGATTGATGACTCTCTCTCATTGATGTTTCTAACTATCTCTCTCCCTTCCTCTCTATAAAAATCAATAAAATATATTTTGTAAAAAAGTTTAATATGTCAAAGCATCTAAATGTTTATTCCAAAATCCTGTTTATGTAACAGGTAGAAAACTGATAGATTGAGGGATATGTCCTTTTTTATTTAGGAACACAATGGCACAGTGATTCAAACTTTTTGAATCCAAATCCTTTATACAGAGCATGTAAATTTCAGAGTCCACACCTTTTCTTGCTCTTTTAAGCCTAGCTTCTTTATTCATTAAATTACTTACTTGGTACTTAAAAAGTAATTTGATTTTCTTTGCAACCACTATGTACTTTAAAAAATAGCAGTGCCGAAACGCGTTTGGCTCAGTGGTAGAGCATCGGCCTGCGGACTGAAAGGTCTCAGGTTCAATTCCGGTCCAGGGCATGTGCACTGGTTGCGGGCACATCCCCAGTAGGGGGTGTGCAAGAGGCAGCTGGTCGATGTATCTCTCTCATTGACGTTTTTAGCTCTCTCTCTCCCTTCCTCTCTGTAAAATATCAAAATATATTAAATATATATATATATATATATATATAAAATAATGTCTTTATTTATTCAAATACTACATCCCAGCAGAATCTGGCCCTTCATATTTGTACACATAGTCACTGACTTGCCTGCCTATACTAACCAAGTTTTAATTAGTTCCTTGAATTGCTTGTTTCTTCAATCACAATGCATAACCCAGAAACTCCAACTCCATCCCCTCACCAAATGTTATTGGAAAAGAATAAACTGTATTTCATTTCTGCTACACTGTAATGATTTGGTCTTGCTTCCTTCTCTATAGCGAACATGATCAAGATGACCAACTACCCATCACTACCTAGACCAGCAATACCGATAACCACCTAAACTGAAAAGGCAAATGGCCAGGAAATCACAAACAGTTCTAGGAAGCTAAAGCAGAAAGGACATTTATTTTTTCTTTCTTTAAAAATAATTTGAGCCCAGCCAGTATGGCTTAGTGGTTGAGTGTCACCTTAATCACAGTAAGCTATTTTCATAGACAGATTTATTTTGTATTTCTATAAAAATCCAAAACTAAAAACTCCAGAATATTAAGGAGCACATCTAATAAATAATCCTTAGCTCCAAAGAAAGGAAACTGTCCTTCAAATGTGTGTATTAACACGCTGAAGCCTCTACGAGTAGCATCTCCCACATCTTCCAGTCCACTGCTGTTCATGTGGTACATCGATGTATTCCCCGTTATGGCTGACAGCTGCCCTTCTAAAACTGTATAGCTTAACCATATGACGTCGTTTTGATGTCTTTCCTGCCCCATAAAAATGTTTTGAAACATCACCACAGACTGGCAACTACAATAATACTGAGCACTTGCTACTCCTACTCCTATTCACTAAGTGCTCACTATGTGCCATGCATGAAGAGCTTATTTTATCAACTCATTCAGTTCTTCAACAGTTCTGAGGTAGTTTGCACCTCACTGGGACTATTCACATTCTACAAAAGGGAAAGCAGAGACACAGCAGGCAAACTGCCTGATGTAATATAGGTGTTCCATAGTCCACACCATTAATTATGATGTGTGTATTAGTTAACTTCATTTCTTCTTTTTTCTTTTTAGTTAATAACTATATTTTAATTTATTGACTATAAAAGTATAATTTTTTAAAATCAATCTTTATTGTTCATATTACAAAGGTTCCTCATTTCTTCCTCCCTCTACCAGGTTCCCACCCCACCCTCCGCCCCCTCCCCACCCCCCATTGTCCTCATCCATAGGTGCACAGTTTATGTTCAGTCTCTTCCCGCATCCACCACTCCCCCTTTCCCTGAGAACTGTCAGTCCACTCCCCTCCCGTACCTCTGACTCTACTACAATCAACAGATAATATTGTTCAGAAGGTTTTTCAATCTCCTTTTTTATTTTTATTTTTTAATTAATAAACTTTTACACTTCTAAGAATTTAAAATCTAATAATTTTAAACCTTGTTTTTTCTGCCCTGGGAATTGAGAAGCAAACTTGTTTACATGTAAACTTGCCCTTAGAATATCAAAAGGTATAGCCATTCAAGTGTAAATGGACACATTGTTTAAACATAGCTGCTGGTTGGAATTGGATTACCTGTTCTGGGTGGGAAGGGCTTGTCCTTCCCTTTCTCCATTAAAATTAAGGTGTTAGCTTTAAAACCTCTTTTTGGCAAGAGACCTTAAACTTTCAGGACTTTAAATTTTTCAGATAGTAAATCAGTTACTTAGCATTTTCTCAAATCAATAATACCTCCACATGCCCAAGGATACACTTCACACAAAAGACATTTCCAGATAGATCAATCAACCTCATCCAGGCCCCACACAAGGCACTCACAGATCAACACCCCAGCGCTATACTAACTCAACACATCCAGATCTAAGCCTTCATCACTTGATTCAGCAGACCCTCAAGTTCCCCCAAAAGTTTCCAGCCATGTCTGAGAGGCAGCCCTGGGGCATGGGCAGGCTGTTCCGGGCCTGGTTGCTCCGAGCCTGGCCTCTGTTGCTCTGGTCCGCTCCACAACCAGCTGCTCCGGGTCTGGCTGCTGCATCTCCGGGCCTGGCCACTCCCGACCTGGCTGCTCCGGGCTTGGTTGCTGCTGCTCTGGGCCTGGCTGCTCCGGGCTTGGTTGCTGCTGCTCTGGGCCTGGCTGCTCCCGACCCAGCTGCTCCAGGCCTGGCCACTCCCGACCTGGCCACTCCGGGCATGGCCACCCTGGTCTTGGCCGCCTCCGCCCCAGGCCTGGCTGCTCCGGGCCCGGCTGCCACTGCCTTGGGCCTGGCCACTCTGGGCCTGGCTGCCGTGGCTCCAACATTCTGTTCTTTTTTTTTAAACGCATTTATGTTGCAATGTTGGCTGCTGAGTTGAGTTCTGTCTTAGTCTTTGATTTTTCAAGATCTTCTTTGTATTCTTAAGTAATTTTACTGTCTTTTGCTATAACTTGATTTCTTCACATTAAAAACTTCTTTGGTTTCTTCCTCCTTGTCCTGGAAGCTCAGCAGGCTGGCCTGCGGTGCCCCTTTGTTCTCCGCGGCCTCCTGCGTGGCTTCGGCCTGTTGCTTGGGTTGGAGATGCCCAGGAAGCAGCCCCCGGCCTCAGCTCCATGGCCTGCGATCAGCAGTCGAGGGCCCAGTGGCACCTCCCCACTGGGGGCCCTGTCGCCCGGCTCCTTGCTGGCGTCTGGCTGGCCAGTGTCCGGCAGCGGCTCCTGCTCATCGCGTTCTTCCCAGTCTGGAGCTTTTTTCTCCTTCCCGCTAGGGGAGTCTAGCATCAGAGTCAACAGACTGTCCTCTGCGCGCAATGTGCGCGACTCCGGGGGCTTTCGCTGCTCCCCTGGGATTCCGCCTCACAGCCCCATCTCCCTATGTTTGAGCCTAGGTCCCCAGGGTCTGGCCTAGAACTGGGGTTCAGAGCAGTTGGAACTGGGGCTTAGCACAGCTGGAGGTTTTGTTTCCTTCCCACTAGGGCAATCCAGCGTCAGAGTCCACATTCCGTCCTTTGCGCAATGTGCGTGACTCCGGGGGCCCTGCTTTTCACCGCTCCCCTGGGATTCTGCCTCACAGCCCCGTCTCCCTCTGTTTGAGCCTGGGTCCACAGGGTTTGGCCTAGAACGGTCTCAGCGCTGCTGTTTCTGGGGTTCAGCCCAGTCTGGGGCTTTTATTTCCTCCCTGCTAGGGAACGCCAGGCAGCACCCAGCCTTCCCCTCCTCTCTGGCTCCGTCCTCTCCACGCGCGCGCAGCATGTCTCCGTACCTTAGGCTTTTTCAGCTCCTCTGAATTGCCTTCTGATTTTCTATTTCCTTCCTGTTGTAGAATTTTCAGTCAGTCGACTACCTGTAGCTCTGGGTAATGTCCATTTTATATTTTAGTTGTATTCCATTGAAATTGTTGTGTGCGGCTGTGGTTAGGTGTTTACCTGTGCAGCCATCTTGGATCCTCCCTTCATTTCTTCTTTCATACACAGAGGATAGCCATTTAAAAAAAATAATTTTCAAATTTCTTTTGTCACCAGCATTTTTAAAGAGGCAGATATAATATCTTGCGAAATAATTTAACCAAGAAGCTTCACAAAATGCAGCTAAATTTAGAGAAGGATGTGGGATAGCTCATATCCTAACTCAGGAATGGTTCAAAATTTTAAACTCATTTAAAACAAGGAAATATATGTGTTTGTGTTTTTAAAAAAAATATTTTATTGATTTTACACAGAGAGGAATTGAGAGGGATAGAGTTAGAAACGTCGATGAGAGAGAAACATCGACCAGCTGTTTCTTGCACACCCCCCACTGGGAATGTGCCAGCAACCAAGGTACGTGCCCTTGACTGGAATCGAACCTGGGACCTTTCGGTCCGCAGGCCGATGCTCTATCCACTGAGCCAAGCTGGTTTCAGCTATATGTGTTTTTTTAATTCTCATCCAAGGATTTTTTTCCCCATTGATTTTGAAACAGAGTGGAGAGGAGAGAGGCAAAGACGCAAAGACACACACACACACACACACACACACACACACACACACACACACGAGGCCTGGTGCACAACTTTGTACACAAGTGGGTCCCTCGGCCTAGCCTGTGAGATCAGGCCAAATGGGCTCTGACAGCCCCTGAGGGGTCCTGGATTGCGAGGGCTCTTACTGGTGCACAACTGGGGCCAGAGAGGGCTCTTACTGGTGCACAACTGGGGCCAGAGAGGGATGCAGGAGCTGGCCAGCTGGGGGGGGATCTTGGGAAGGATCCAGGGTATGTCTGGTCCATCTCACTCAGTCCCAATTGGTCAGGCACCAGCAGCAATCTAACCTACTGGAGCATCTGCTCCCTGGTGGTCAGTGCACATCATAGCAACTGGTTGACCAGTTGACTGACTGTCCCCTGGTGATCAGTGCATATCATAACAAGCGGTTGAGCAGCCTTAGTATATCATTAGCATATTACACTTTGGTTGGTTGAATGGATGACTGGACACTTAGCACATTAGGCTTTTATTATATATATATATATATATATATATATATATATATATATATATATATTGAGAGAGAGAGAGGGAGAGAGAGAGAGAGAGAGAGAGATGGAGAAAGAGAGAGGGGGAGGAAAGGAGGGAGGGAGGGAGAGGGTGTGTGTGAGGGAGAGAGAGAGAGAGAGAGGGAGAAAGAGAGAGGGGGAGGAAAGGAGGGAGGGAGGGAGGGAGGAAGAGGGGGGGAGAGAGAGGGAGAGGGAGAGGGAGAGAGAGAGAGAGAGAGAGAGAGAGAGAGAGAGAGAGGTGTAGATATCAATGTGAGAAAAGCACATCAAATGATTGCATTCCACGGCCAGGGCTCCAACCTGCAACCAAGGTATGTGCCCTTGACTGGGAATCGAACTCGAGATCCTTCAGACCTTGGGCCAATGCTTTAACCACTGAGCAACTGGTCAAGGCTAAAATAAGGAAATATTTTAATAATAAAGTTTTTATATTTGGATCCCCCCTTCCTGTGAAAATAAAGCTTCACTAAGGACAGGGAATTTTGACTGCTTTATTCATTGTATACACCCAGTTCCTCAAACACTGGCAATGCAAGAAATCTGTGATTTTGCCCTGGCCAGCGTGGCTCAATTAGTTAAAGTTAACCCATGCACGTGCACCAAAAGTCCAGGAATTTAATTCACGGTCAGGGCCATGCCCAGGTTTCGAGCTTAATCCCTGGTAGGGAGTGTGTAGGAGGCAGCTGATCAATGTTTCCCTTTCTCTCCCTCTCCCTTCCTCCCTCTCCAAATATCAATTTAAAAAATCTTTAAAAAAAGAAAAAGAAATCTGTGACTCAGATTATAAATAAAACAGTGCCCAACTTCCAACTGAGGCATTCTCCCCACCACCCTTACCCTTAACTTTATTTTCATAGCACTTACCTGGAACACTATACATTTACATCTTATGTGAACACTACAAAGTAAGTTCCATGAAATAAGTTTTCACTGCTCTATCTTCAGCACCAAAACTGGGACTTGATAAATATCTGATCAATCAGTGAAGATTTACTGTCTGCCATCCCTCTTCTCCCCAATGGAATATAAATATCAGTAAGCAGGGACTCTTCACAACTATGTTCCTAGAACCTAGAAGAGGTACCTAATAAATATTTTACCTCTTGTTTCTGGTTTTCACTCCAAATATTCTAGGTAAACTACATCAACACAGCAACATAAAAGTGCCAGCAAGAAAGAATCTACAGCATAGGTAGGGATGCCAAACAGAATCCCTTCCCAAGTTTAAGGTCAATATTCTTTTTTAAAAATATATATATACATATTTATTGATTTCAGACAGGAAGGGAGAGGGAGATAGAAACATCAATGATGAGAATCATTGATCGGCTGCCTCCTGCCCACCCTCTACTAGGGATCGAGCCCACAACCCGGGCATGGTCCTAGGCCGGAATCGAACTTGGGACCCTTCAGTCTGCCAGTCGACAGACACTCTATCCACTGAGCCAAACCAGCTAGGGCAGGTCAGTACTCTTTACTGGCAGTAAAAAGCTGTAAGGGCTTTTCACACAGCTGCCTCTGACCCTAGATCCCATATTCCTGATTCACGCCTCTGTCTTAATTTAATCCTAGGGCTCTCACCATTGTGATTCTCAGGAGCACAAAAATCCTAATGCCTGCTAAAAATTATTCCTCTTACAGAAAAAAACCTGCTCTTGACTCCTTGTGAGAATCTTACCCATCTCCAATAATACCTTTCAAGCAAAGCCATCTCTTTCATTCAACAAATATTTACTAACCATATCCCAGGCAGTGGCAACTATAGTGTGATACCATTTTAAGAAAAAGGAATAATATATACAGGAAAAATATGGCAGAATAAGCATCAAGAATGTGTTTAAAATGTCTTAATTACATAGAGAGAGCTCATTTTAAGTTTTTTTTTTAAACATATTTAGCATTCTCTAATTCATTAAACTAAAAGTAGGCATTTGAACACCTGGAATATTAGCTAAGGTTTCATACTAAAGGAATACACCTTAATTTCCATCAAGCAATAAGGAAAAATAACATTTAAAAAGAGCTTATAATAAAGAAACATCTCTTCAAAACCAGGGACAAAACAGTGTAAACAAACGAAGTCTACCTGAAGACAGTATGATGGCAGTTATCTCAGACTGCACTTTTATGAGGAGGATATGAAGGCTAAAGTGGGTTTAGAAATAATATGAAAACATCCTCATACTTGTGCCAGAGAGAATAGGAATTAGCTGGCAAAAATTTGGAACAAACTGTGAAGGTATACCAATAATCTGTGTAAGATGTTTTACTTAACGGAAGAGCTTCATAAAATTTGTGACAATACTTAGGATTTATAGAGCCTTAGCAAAAAAAATACGTGGAAAACGCTACACAATGTAAGAAGGTTAAATATGAACAATAAAAATAAGTGACCTGACCTCACCCCTCCCTCCGACACTGGAACACTAAAAACACACTGGCAGTGCACACAAACGCAAGCTGCACTTACCTTCAGAGGCTGGGGGCCTCTCAGGCCCGCCTGTCCTCCCATCTGGGGGGAGCCTTGCTGCAGGGGCTCAGTTATTAAGTTGCCAGCGTTCCCCATGCCTGGGTTTGGGTACTGCATGTTAGGTCGCCCCCTGCCGGCTCCGATTGAACCGTTCATGACTTGATTGGGCATCATCCCCTGTCCATTGCCCGCAGTCAACATTCCAGGGTTCATGCCAGCATTCACCCCTGTGTTCATTCCCATGGCAGGCTGACTTACTGGACTGTTCATCAGACCTGCTGCAGATGGGGGGGTGGGACCCTGATTTGGTCCACTTGTGCCCATCCCCATGTTGGGGATTGGGCTCTTGACCATGCTGTTTATCAAACCTAATCCAGGACTGTTCTGTTGGGCCTGGCTGGCCATGCCTTGGCCTGGGCCACCAACCCCCATGTTGAGGTTAGGGGAACTACCAGACCGTAGCAATTCCGACAGCTGTTTATGTTTAGAGGCTGCATCTTGTACCATGCCAAGACTTGTCTGAAGCTGACTAATATCACCACCATTGGTCAGTCCCAATTCTGTAGAATTGATTAATTCATCTGGTAAGTCATGCTCCAAGTCAAATAGAGAGCCAAAATCTGAAAGGAAGAGAAAAGGTAAAGTTAGACAAAATCAAAATTAAAAACTGCTTTATATTTTGTTACTGATAAACATTACATTTCTATACCGCACTCTATGTATTTGTATTGAGGTTTTTCATGTTATACTAAAAAGCCTTTTTTAATATTTGCATATTTAAAAATAGGAGAATGTTTGATCATACCCAAGTTAAACACTTAATGAACGGTATTTAAATAAGGCCAAGGAAAAAGGACTAAAATCTCAGTACAATACCCATTATGAGTTGCTAAAAGTTTGTATTAATAGTCATGAAAAGATGTACAATTAAGTTAAATAATATTTCAGAATTCCATAGAAGAGGTTAAAATAACTTACCAAATGCAAACTAATTCAGAACCAAAGGTTTAAACTATCATAATAATAAAGACAAATGGTGCAAAGACCCTTCGTTTGTAGGACATTCAGTGTGAGCTCCATGAACAAGGGGCTGTCTACCATTCTTTGCCAAGTTCCATCACAAAATACATCCTCAATCTGCTGAGTGAATTTGCTTTCACCTGACTTCAGCCTACAGATTAATTTCCTTAACCAAAATCTAGCTGAAATAGGATATAAAAAGATGCCTCTAGCTCCTTTAACACCCAAATCACTCCCCCACTACCCCTGTCCCACCGCCACCAAAAAGAGGATGAAATCAGAGATTAGCCCAGGATCTTCTCAGTCTTGCTCTATTGAACATTTCGGGCTGGGTGATTCTTTGCTGTGAAGGTAGGGAGATTAAGATAACCCACAGATCCCCGCTCTCTTTTCTCAATGCATTAATATCCAAACCCCAGCTGTGACAGCCAAAAACGTCTTCAGTATCACTAAATATCTCTTGGAAGGACAAAACTATCCCTGGTTGACCTGTTGACAGTCTTAACTAATTTTATATATTTAGGTATTTGAGTTTTCTTTTTTTTCTTTCTCTCTCTCTCTACTGAGTTTTCTTCCCTTTTAATTCTCCAGGTAGTTTTCATATTAAATAGGCATTACTGGGTATTTAATAATTAAATATACCTGACTCTACAACTGACTATCCCATTAAAAATAATTCATTGCTTGAAGACCAGAAGATTCCACTTTAAGTGATCTATTTGGTCCAATCAATCTTGCTTTTAAGCACAACTAACTCCTTTGCATGCCCTTCCAGTTCTTATAGCCCTCTATCATAGCACTGAAATTGTTAGTGTGTCCGTCTTTCTCTCCCCTCCGCACCCACTCCTGCACCCACCATCCTGTAGCTCTTTGGAAAGCACAAATCTTATCACCTTGCCTAATGCCTAACACAGGTAAGCATTTTGGTCATATTTTAATTGAACCAAGTGGTTCCAGGATTTCAGGACATGGTTAGAGTCCAGACTTTTACAGAATTTCTTTCCTTCTGAGAAAATCAGATGTGCCCACACATTATACTAAAAGGTGTCTTGCCCGGCTGGTGTAGCTCAATGGGTGAGCATTGAGCCAGGGGCACATGCTTGGGTTGCAGCTCAATCCTCTGTGGGGGGTGTGCAGGAGGCAGCCAGTCAATGATGATGTTTCTCTCTCATCGATGTGTTTCTTTTTAAAAAAAAATATATTTTATTGATTTTTTTCAGAGAGGAGGAGAGAGGGATAGAGAGCCAGAAACGTCGATGAGAAACATCGACCAGCTGCCTCTTGCACACTCCCTACCGGGGATGTGCCCGCAATCAATGTACATGCCCTTGACCGGAATCGAACCTGGGACCTTTCAGTCCACAGGCCGACGCTCTATCCACTGAGCCAAACCAGTTTTGGCCTCATCGATGTGTTTCTATCTCTCTATCCTTCTCCCCTGCTCTCTCTTAAAAAAAAAAAAAAATCAATACATTAAAAAAAAAAAGAAGAAAAGGTATCATATGAATAGTTTTGGAATATAAAACTTAAAACATATCTGATATCATTACTCAAAGAAGACTTTAATATATTGATATATTTCCTTAATCATTTTTACTTACATAACTCACAAAACTGGGATCATACAGACTTTATGAGCAATTTTGCATTCTACTTTTCCCCTGAAGTATACAAAGAAATGTATTTTTACAGTTGCACAGTTAGGGAAAATTAAAAATCTCTGCCCATTTAGAAATTTTAAAAAATGCACATATACCTAAGTGACAAATTAAAGAGGAAATCAGAAAAGAAACTGAACATAGCAGGAAGATAATCAAAGATAAAAAGCAGCTTGGCCGGTGTGGCTCAGTTGGTTGAGCAAGGTACCCTGTGCCAAGAGGTTGGGAATTTGATCCCCAGTAGAGGGCATGAAGGAGGCAGCCAATCCATGTTTCTCACCCATCTCTTCCTCTCACTTAAAAAAAAAAAAATCCAACATATATTTTAAAAAATAGATTTTTATTGATTTCAGAGAGGAAGGGAGAGGGAGAGAGAGAGAGAAACATCAGTGAGAGAGAATCATTGACTGGCTCATCAAGCCCACAACCCAGTAATGTATCCTTGACCAGAATCGAACCTGTGACCCTTCCAAACCGGCTAGGGCAACATATTTTTTTAAAAAGATAAAAAAGCAGTTAATTATCAACATGAGAAAGACAGAGATGCAACTGAGAAGGTATCAACAAACCAGAATTTGGTTATTTGAAGGAGTAATAAAGATAAACTTCTGGGAAAATTAAGAAAAATAAATAAAATGAGAAAGCAACAATACTAATCAACTTCATGCAAAAAAATTTGAAGAGACATAAATGAATTCCTGATAAAACACTCACCAAACCTTATCAAAAATAAATTATAAAGAATAAATGTCCCAGTTTCTCCAACAAATCAATGCAAAAAGAGAATGAGAACAGATATCAAATGAGAGTCAACAACCAGATATACCTTGTTTAAGTTCTGATTCAAACCAGTTGTAAAAAGACGGGGGCGGGGGGAAAAGGCAGACAAAAATACAGGTAACTTGAAGTAATAAGCATAAGGAAGTTCTCTGTCCTACTGAATTGAAATTTCCCATTTAAAAAGTTTAAAAGGAGCCGAAACCGGTTTGGCTCAATAGAGTGTCAACTTGGGGACTGAAGGGTCCTGGGTTCGATTCCGGTCAAGGGCATTTACCTTGGTTGTGGGCACATCCCCAGTAGGGGGTGTGCAAAAGGCAGTTGATCGATGACTCTCTCTCATCGATGTTTCTAACTCTCTATCCCTCTCCCTTCCTCTCTGTACAAAATCAATAAAATGTATTAAAAAAAAAAAGTTTAAAAGGAGGAGATAAAGAAAGCCTGAATAACCCCATTACTATTAACAAAAATATATCATTGGTCAGTCTTTCCATAAAGATAACACCAGATCTAAATGTTTCTATAGACATATCCTTCAGACCTTTCAAGGAAAAGAACTTTATCTTGCACAAAAGCTTCTAGAAAATAGAGCCCTGGCTGGTTTGGCTCAGTGGATAGAGCGTCAGCCTGCAAACTGAAGGGTCTCGGGTTCGATTCTAGTCAAGGGCACATGCCTGGGTTGTGGGTCCAATCCTCAGTAGGGTGCGTGCAGGAGGCAGCTGATCAATGGTTCTCTCATCACTGATGTTTCTATCTCCTCTCCCTTTCCCTTCCTCTCTGGAATCAATAAAAATATATCTTAAAAAAAATGATATCTCTAAAAATCGTAACAGCCAGTAAAAATTATGAACAAAGAAGCAAAAACCCTTGAAAGAAAAGAAAGCAAGCAAACCAGTTCATTAGTGCCTTAAAAATGTATTGATCAAGTTGGGATATCTCAGGAATCCAAGGGGAAAGGTTTGCAATGGAACCTTAGACTATCTATAAGTACACAGATTGTCATCTACCATATTAACAAAGAAGAAAATATAAGGTTAATCTCAATAGCTGTAAGAACAGCACTGGAGGCCCTGGCCCGTAGCTCACTCGGTAAGAACATCACTCTGATGCACTAAGGTTGCAGGCTGGAACCCCTGGTGAGGGCACATACAAGAATCAACCAATGAATGCATAAGTAAGTGGAACAAGAAAAGCACTGGATAAAATTCAATACCAAATCACATTTTAAAAAATCTTTAAATTGATAGTTTTTTTCAAAACCTAAAAAACTGACAGCAAATATGCATAATGGACCAACATTAAAAGTAGTCTAGCATCAGACCAAAATAAATACTCATGATAGCCACTTCTACTCAATAATATTAAAAAAAAAAAAAAAAAGATAAGTTAAAAGACTGAGAAGAAACACAACTTATTTTATGGAGATAAATTAATATAGAAAGTCCAAAGCAAAGAAATGGAAATAGTGAGAGGGTAACACAGTAATTAAATATACCACAAACATTAAAATATTAAACTACATTTCTGTACATCAGTGATAAATGTTTAGGAAAAAATTTAATACAATTTATGATAGCATGGAGGAAACTTAAAAAAAAATCTAACAATATGTTACTAAAAATATATGTAAGTTGTGAAAGTAAAGACTACATAAGTAGAATAATATCCCAAACATCTGGATACAAATCCTTGATATTATATAAAGACATCTGTATATAAATAATTCTGCCCTAAAAGATTCAATGCAATGCCAATAAAAATCCTTACAGTTTTTAAGGGAACCAGACAAGATGATTCTAAAGTATATACAGAAGGACCTAGTTTCCAACTCTGTATAAATAAGAAAGTTATGGCCAGTAAAAACCATGTATTGAAAATTTCAATTCAATAGGATAGAGGACTTCCATATGCTTATTACTTCAATACTTATAGGTTATTTGTGAGGATTAAATGAGTTAATATGTGTAAAGCATTTAAAACATTGCCTGACACATAAAAATATGAAAATGTTATCGAGTATTATTATTCAATAGAATAGGAGTTAAGACTGGTTTATAATAAGAGCAAACTTTCATCAGGCACTTTCAATAACTGTATTATTCTTATTAGTCATCTCAATGTCAAAAGTAGGTAACAGCCATATATAGTATTAACTGAGGAGAAAT